CAGAGCAGTCTCTATGGCAGTTTCCCAACTGAGGGCTTCTAGTAACGTTGCCCATCGCTAACCAAACGTCGTGAATCTCTTTCCGCGGGTTCCGGCTGTGAACGTAATTTGTCTTTTTTGTTTTATTATTTCTTTTTATAACTACACAGCCAGCAGTTCGAAGCTTACGGTTCGTATTTTTTCAATCTAGGAAGTGTCCCGCGCGCGACGAGAGCAATAGAAGGGGCACGCAAAAATCGATAGCGAGCGTATACGCATGTATACAGCTCGCTGCATTACCCGCGTATGGCGCATGCGCAGGTGGAGCACGCACGCTAACGCAAACGTACAGTGATTGCGTTTGCTCCTATACATGCCTTGCACGTGACGTCACGCTAAGGAAGGACGGGGTCCTGCACCATGCTGCAGTGGTGGACTTCACACCGCGCCTTGCCATACACCACACCGCGCCTTGTATATACACCACGCCTTGTATATATAAGCGCGGATGCAGTTATATATACAAAGCATAAGATGCCGCTAACTGCCCGAACATGCGCTGACATGCACCCTATTTTAAACAAAGGTACCTAGTTGTGTTGCATGTGAACTTTGAAAAACGTGCCGAGCTTACCATGATGGCATTTAGCCAGTACGTGCGGAATTTTGCGGGATTGGTCCGATTGCGCTACGAACAGAAAGTTTCGATGTGCCGCCGACAAAGTTATAACACAAAAAGCTGTCGTGTCAAAAAAAAAAAAAAGAGAAAGCTTTGTTGCGGGTTTCAAAATTTGACGAGCGGCTCTAGGTGTCTCTTGTAGAAAAATTGTTATGATTTTGCGAAAGACAGGTGAACAACGCAAGGTTACCGTCATAATCAAAACCCTGAGACAAGGAGAAATCAAATAACGGACAAGACAACTCTCATTGTCTCGGGGTTTATATCATGATGTTTCCTAACCGGCTGGCCTGCATACTTTCGCTCCTTGCAAAAGTTACCGTCTCGCGGACGGCACAAACCGATTCCCCGGCGGCGGCGTCTCGGCGAGCTTGCAGACGCCCTTACAAAAATCTGTACTTAAAGTCTTCTGAATTTCTGTTGAAAATTTTCTAGAATCGTATTGAAATTCTTTTTAAACTTTTTTTTATGTTTTTAGACTTTATTCTGACAACTTACTTAACTCCTAGTTAAAATTGGCCACTTACATTTTTTTTTTAGAGTTCCTTCTTACATAAATTTTGTTCAATTCCTTTTGACGGAACCGCAGATTAACGTTAAAGAACAATACATTTTTAATATATATTTTGAATTTTTTAGGAGATAGTGTCCCTGGTACATACACATCTCACAAATACACATTAGAAACAAACACAGACACCATGAAGCACTCAACCAGTCCCGTTATCTGCTCCAGAGCCTTATATAGTTTATATATTGAAGGTAATCATTTGGCTGGTGAGCACCTCAGCACTTACTAAGGTTACAAGTTTCCGATCTCTTTCTCGAAAAGCTGTGAAAGTGAAGAGAGTGTTTTAAGTTCGGGGATCTCTTACTAAAAAGCATCTGTACAAATAAAAATAACTCCGCGTAGTCGCTAAAACAACATCCACAAAACCGGCTTCTAGAGCAAATGTTATCGCTTCTCTGGATAGCACCACTCAGGACAAAGCGAGTCAAGGCGGTTGCTCCACATTAAAGTAGTTACTTTACTTTTCTTTACTTGTTGACTAGTTGAATAGGGTCAATAAAGTCACGATAGTCTCTTACTAAGTGAGAACGGCAGTACGTGTTTTTCGAACGTCTGGCATCCAGCACGCGCCCCTTGCCTTCCGTCGTGCTTTGACTGCGCGCTCGCGCTCGAGGGGCGCGAGACGTCGAAGCGTTGTCAAGGATGGAAGGCTCGCGCTGGAGGCGGGAGAACTAAAGCTGCTCCCTACGGTCCTCAACCTGTCAGAGACTATTGAGAAACTTAGTGACTTGACATTTAGTGAATATGTACCATGTTCAGTAAGAAGTCAACAGAAACTATTGACAGTGGCTACAGAAAGTCAACTGAATATTTTCAACGCAAAGTAAACAGAACGTCTGCAGTGTTTCTGATGACACTTTCAACAGGAAGTCACCGGAAGAGATCAACGTAAAGTAATAGAAAGTCAACAGCTTTTCTCTTGACTCAGGCAGAAGAAAATCATCCGAAAAGTTTCAACGCAAAATCAACAAACTTTCCGTTTACCATGTCAACAGGAAGTCAAAGTCAAAAGGAAGTAATCAGAGTGAACAAAAAGTCAACACATTTTCAATAAAAAGTAAAAAAAAAAATGTTTTTATACGGTGTAATGTTTATATTCGTATTGTCTCGTCTCGTGACGTGAAGTCTCTCGTTGTCTTCGGGTCTGTGCTGACGTCGTTGTCGCCGATTGCCAGTCAAGGGTCTCTTCTCTTGGGTTTAGTGATGTCGGGTCGTAGACTTTCAGGGTTGAATAACTTGGTCTAATATGCAGGTATTATACACAAAAATTACAACACAGTTAAAGCTGGCTAGTTCTCAAAACTCGATGGCCTCTGCCGTTGACCTCTCTAAGTGACACCTCTGCACTTCTACTCGATTTTTCCGCATCGCTCTCAATGGGACTTTCATCTCAACTCCTGCATCGTTCTCGATGCGTCTCCTCTGAAATCTCTTAGTCGACTCTTCCTTCTCAACTCTCCCGCTCCCAACATAGCTACCCTCGTCTCTCTCTCTCTCTCTTTCACTTTCTCCCTCTGACACGCATTCTCGCCTCCGTGGTACGGCTACACAAATCCCGACAAGCAAAATAATAAACGAGTTCAGTTGGCGCTATCCAAAACAAAACGGCCCTCCGCCGCCGACTCTGTAAACATTCCAATCATCGACCCCTACGAAAGCACGTACAAGTCCCTAATATACCTCTCGTGTTCGCGATAGCCGATTCCCGGTACAACCCCGGAAGGTCGACAACACGCGATGGGACGTGCGATCAACGGTATAATGCGCGTACATAAATCAGTACACATTCCGAACGAAGCTGTCAAGAGCAGCTAAAATAATACAAAGCACCTTCGTAGACGAAGAACATATGCGGAGCTCTATATAAACAGGTGTAAGGTTACAACGTTCACGTTCACGCCTCCACTTGGGCCCCCTCGACCCCGGGAAGGGGCACGCGCCGTGCCGTAAAGATGCTGGAACTTCCGAAGAAGGAAAAAACATACAAAATAACACAACATAGGGGTTTGTAGAACCAGATATCCATCGCCGTCATGCCGGACCCCGCACACAACCGCAGACCATTAAAAATAATTTAAAAAATTAATAATATTTTATCTCGTTATAAAATAGTATAAAGAAATAATGGCAATAAGTTTTTTTTGTCATTTTTAGAAAATAGTTTACAAAAAAAAAAACGTCGTTACAACTTCTTTTTAATTGTCTTGTTATAAATAAGTCTACAAAGAAATCGATTGTTTTCCTTTTGATTTGTTTAGAAAATAATCTGCAGAAAAACGTCTATAAATAAGTCTAGAAAAAAACTTTTTTTTTTCTTTTGAAAGTTGTTTTGACAATAAGCAAAACAAAGTGCGTTTATAAAGAAATTCAGTAGGATTCCGGAAAGTCAGTAAGAAGTCTAAAAAAAATTTAGAAAAGAATGTTGAGAGTCTTGAGACCTGTTTTTGAAAGGGCGGGGGCTGGCCGCCGACCGATCGCCGTCTGGCCAGGCTCGCGGCGCGCGCCACACTCGCCCGTACTCGGTCGGGAGCCCCGAAGGTGCGCTCGAAGCGTGGAAAGTTGGAAACGGCCTGATGTAACGAAAGGCGAAGGGCATCTAGACCGCGAATGGGCAAAAGTCGACGCAAAGGCCTGCGTGAACGTAAACAACGGTAGGAAAGTGCCGTTGCTCGCCGCTATGAAATGCGTCCCGCAAACTCGGTAATCCGCGGCCGCTTCCCTTTCCCGTCGCTCGTAGTTTCTCTAACGGCTGTCTCGCGGGGCATGCCGACGAAACGATCGGACGATCGTCGGGGTACGTATTGTCGGTTACAAGTCAAGAAGGTAGGAGAAGCTCCTCCCACAAGTGTGATGCGCCCGTTTCAAATCTCTCCGCAGTCGAAAGAAGAGTTCACTGGACACGCTCCTTGTTCCGCTTCAATGGATTCCCACTTGTCTCCGATCCCACTTTTTAAGAAAGCGACTTTTGTATTCATCGGAGAGGGAACCGAGCCCCTGAAAGCAGCCTTTGTATCCATCGGGGGGAAGCTAATCCCCGAAAGTCGTACTTGTTTCCGTCGGGGGGGGAGAACTCTAATCTCCCTCTCGTGGCTTCCACAATGCTAAGTCAAAGTCGAAAGATAAAGCAAATATGTACAGAAAGGCAAGACCCTCCTCGCGCGTTGGCCGCGACGTCACGGAAACGGTGGGACACTATTGGATGCGGAGGTGGCGGAGGGATATCCGATTCCCTTTGAGGAGCATTTGCCGCTACCTTCTTAACCTGTAACTGACTATAGTAATGGCTACAGCCAAGCGCGACGCAGATTACCATTGCTCTCGCTGCGAAGGGCCGTCGAGTCAACCACCAGCATTGTGGACACCGGTGTTAGACGTCATCATGTGACGTAGGTGCAAGACTATAACCTTTTTTATTGCTTCGATCTGCGCTACTTTTCTCAACCTGCAGCTGAGATACAGTCGACGTGTTTTAGGAGCTTTGGTTTTAGGCGTTGTACTTTAGGATATTTGCCTTAGAAGCTTTGTTTTTATAGTCAGTGACAGGTTAAGAAAAGTTTCCTGGCTGGGGAGGAGGACGCAGACAAAATGCTGAAGAGAGGAGGTGGTTTCCTCTGCTTCCCTCCAACGTTCCGTCTGCTTCCTCCTCCCCTCCCCTCCTTTCCCTCGAAAACTTTGTTTTTGACCTGCAACCGTTGTAGGAGACGTGCTTTATGAGGAGGCACTTGTTTGGGGCTGTCCATGCTCACTTGCGACGGTCTTCCTCCTCCGCAGGACGCTGGTGCTTGCTGCACCCGCCTCGGGATCTCGTCGTGGGTCGGCGGTGGGCGCACGCGACCACGATCTTGCACGACGTCGACGAATGCGACACCCAGGTGGCGCACTGGCCCTACGCCGAGAGGTGCGTCACTGTCACCACCTGCGCGGACATCTACAGGGTACGGCCCCCTTCCTATGCGGTGCACGGTGGGAAGGAACGCGTCAGAAAGGAGCACAAACTCGCACCTCCTGCACAGGTGCAGAAAAGTGTAGGGCAGTGTGCTTCCGGTACATGCATCGAGATACAACCGGAAGTATACCTCTTTACACCTTTCTGCACCGCTACAGGAGGTGCGGGTAAATAGAGCGAAGCTACTGCAGACCTTTTCTTTCTTTTTTTCCCTACAAGGGCGCCGCCATCTTGAATTTTCGTCACGTCCAGTATGGGCCAAAAACATTGTTTTGCCGTCGCCACGCTAATAGATTACATTCAGGATGTAAGTGTAACCGTCACCCATCCTCGTTCTGACCTCCTCTATTTTTTTAACGATTTGGAGGTTAAAATGTCTTAATATATTTACAGCGAAGCCGTTATGCGCTAGGATCTGGAAAAAAATTAATTCGTCCGCGGATGTTGGCAAAAAACTCCCCATTGGTCGTTTAACGACCAATGGGGAGTATGAATAAATCAAAATAAAAAGAAGGGTCAACCATCGTGAGTCAGCCTCCCTTGGCATTATTAGATGGTGAGGTCCTAATTCCTTGTTATCACCTCTGGGCATCGTCCTCGAGGTCATCCTAGAAGTCCTCCTTAAGGTCGACCTCGAGGTCATCCGAGAAGTCGTTCTTAAGGCTGTCTTAGACGTCGTCCTCGAAGTCGTCAGAGAGATCGTCCTGGACGTTGTTTTCTAGGCGTCGTCCTCGAGGTCTTCCTAGACGTCTTACTCTAGGCCGTCTTGAAGTCCTTGATGTCATCCTCTAGGCGTCGTCATCGAGGTCGTCATCGAGGTCGTCCTTAAGGTCGTCCTCGATGCATTGTCCTAGACGTCGTAAAACTATCAGCTTCGCTGGTCCTCCATCTTCACTTGAAGTGGAAGGGCTCTACAATTTCTTTTTATCTCGGCTCGCGATGATTGATGAGAACCATCCAATTGATGTAAAGATCGTTCACTAATGTAACGTTGTTTTGTAACGTGCCTTTATTAAATCGTAGACCTCCGTAGAACCTAGCGGAACGCCAACGTTTGATATTTATCTTAGCTCGCGATGATCGATGAGAATCATCCAATTGGCGTAAAAAGCGGTCAGTAATGTAACGTTGTTTTATAACGTGCCTTTATTAAATGGACGAAATACTGCCGAGACATCTATGCCTTTACTTTAACATTTTACGTGTCTAACACTACTTTACCCATCGTTATTGCTAGCACTTGCGAGGGACACTAATTGTTCCCGTGTGGCACTCGAAGTACCATTCGGTAAGCTGAAGTGCACTTGGTTGAAGTGCACTAAACAAGCCAGTCTGATGGGGGTATTCGGCGGCGCATCTCCGGAGCGAGTAAAAGGTTCCTTTGACGCAACTCTGTTGTGGTGTGTGACCTTTTGAGACGCAGTGCCTCTCGGAAAGTCTCGGCAGGATCGGGCTCGAATATTTCGCAACTTTTTGGAGGGAACGGTGGCCGAGTGTTTTAATGCGCCGAAGCTCGGAGGGCGTGGAGCGACAGCTCGCGCTGCAGAGCCCAGGGATCCAGGGGGGCTATGTTGCACGTTTTGGACTCCCAGGAGACTAGGGAGAAGGAAGTGACGTAGGTGTGAATGAACGTATCTTAGCAGCACCACGCATCGCGTCATCAGCGACTCCATCAATCAACATCCAAAGAGTGTTGTTGACGTCACTTCCTTCTCCCTAGTCTCCTGGGAGTCCAAAACGCGCAACATTGCCCCCCCTGGGCTCAACCTCCATTTATGCCCGTTTCCATCGGGGTCTCTAATGTGGACATTCGGCGAAATAGTAGGCGACTAAACCGGCGGCCGTAATTGGCCGACGCGGTGCTTAACCTCGGCGCCGGCCACTCACTGCGCTCGAATTCCTCGTCGACTTTTTCGCCAAGTGTCCAGATTTCAGCCCCCGGTTGAGCATTGTAACGGCGTGCGGTCGTGTGTCAGTACTAAATGGTGCACGAGATCCCAGGCTAGGGGTTGTACTGTACCGGCTAAGTTTTTCAGAGGCTAGACTAACTTCAAAGATGTCTAATCATGTAAAAAATATATATACAGGGTGTCACAAAAGAAAATTTACACGGTCTTTTTCACCGCAAAAATAAACTAGGCATCGCCGAACGCTCATTCTCCGCCCAAAGGTAGAGCTAGAGGTCACAACCAGATGCCAAAGTTTCAGCCCGATCCGATAACTCAATCAAAAGTTATAAGTGATTTTCTGAAAATTTCAATGGGAAAATGGAGCCCATTTTCGCCCGTTTTCGGTTTCTGGTGCCATAGAGCCCCATGTGTTTGAAAACGCCGTCGGCCGCCATTTGCCCATTGAAAATTTCAGAAAATCACTTATAACTTTTGATTAAATTATCGGATCGGGCTGAAACTTTGGCATCTGGTTGTGACCTCTAGCTCTACCTTTGGGCGGAGAATGAGCGTTCGGCGACGCCTAGTTTATTTTTGCGGTAAAAAAGACCGTGTAAATTTTCATTTGTGACACCCTGTATATATATTTTTTTTGCTTGTTGTGTGCAGCTAGTTTTTACCACCAAAATGTCGTTCCTTTTATTTATTTTTTTCTGTCGAGAGGAACAGGTGAGGATGACAACCAGTAGAGCCACTAAATGAGCTACGCTTAGAGTGTCGGCACTCTGTTCTCGCGATATTGTTGTAAGCGCCAGTGCCAGGGCCGTACCCAGAAAAAAATTTCGGGGGGGGGGGGGGGGGGGGGGGGGGTTCGGGGACAACGGCGGCCATTTTGAAAGTGTCTATTGTCTTATTTTTGCCTATGAATCATGTGCATCGGTGGCATATAATGGAGAGTTACAGCAAACCGGAGAACCGGACCCGGTTTGGTACCCGGTAGCCGACCGGCGCCACTGCGCGTGCGCAGAGGTGGAGATTAAAATCGGCTGGCTGCCAGTGCACCGACCAGGGCCGTACCCAGAAAAAAATTTCGGGGGGGGGGGGGGGGGTCAGAACCCCCTATCCCCCCCCCCCCCCCCCCCCCCCCTGGTTACGGCCCTGGGCGCCACCATCTTGGTGCTTGTGCAGAGCAGAGGCAACCGCCGATCGTCGTGATTCAAAAGTGCGACTTCCTCGGCATTAGATTCGGTGTTATCGAGCTCATGCATATATCGCTTTGCTCTGTCACAAACTGTTTAAACGTTTGTGGAGGACGGAAAGGCGTTTCCTGTGATTTAACTTAAGGCTACAGATAACTGCAGCAACCATAAGCCACAAGATGGGTAAGTGTCGTTACACCGAAGCGTAGCTTATTTAGTTGCACTAACCAGCAGCATTGCCTGTTTAACGTCACTCGCAAGTCGTGTATTGGCAACTGTACAATTGTATGGGCACACTTCGTTTACTTTGTCGCCCTCACTAGAACATTAAAAAGATGTAGGCGAAGCAAAGAAAGAACGAGTGCTTAAAACGTGAACACATTCCAATGGCATAGCGAGAGCAAAACGGTGTTTTTGCGCATTTAGTACAAGTACAGCCATTCAAGATGGCGATGGCCGCGTGATGGTGGTGATGGTACGTGCACGTGTCCCCCGTTTCTTTAAAAGCTGCACGCTTACTCTCGCCCCCGACTGCCAAGTAGACATGTTCGGTATGGGCGACGAAAACATATCAAAACGTTACAACCTGCAAATAGTAAAAAAAATAGAGGGGAGGCAAAACGAGAATGTGTGGCGGTTACGTTTATGTCCTAAATACCTTCTATTGGCGTGGCGACGGCAGAACAATGTTTTCGATTATACCAAAAGTGACGACAATTCAAGATGGCGGCGCCTTTTGCGAAAAAGGTCTACACATCATATAGAAGACACGGTGTTCACCGCAGACAGGATGACAAACTTAGGGAGTATTAGGGAACCGTCGTTGTACATCCGATAGAGGTATCATAGGCCCCCTGGTACGAACTGCGCATATGAGTCTCTACTGCCGCAGTGCGTACCGGAGGACCCATCGTACCGATGTGCAAAAAGGGTTCCCTAAAACTCCCTATTATCCGAGGACGCGCTTCAATCATGTTCGAAGACCCTATGTTTCACAAGGTATGTACGTTTCGAACATGTCTACAGACAGTTCCTGCCTGACCAATCCGACTGGCATACAAGTAAAAAAGACTCCCAGACAGTGTACCTGCAGCCTGTTTTTTGTACGATGTATCTGCGATGTAAACGCGGTTTTGGGCAGCTTAATGTATTGGAAATAGATGGGCATTTTACTCCCGCTGACTTTGATCGGTGAGCTTTTGCCTCCAGCTTTTGCCATTTCTTTTTTCAATTTTTTTTTTCTGGGGAGATAAAGCACGTGAAAGGGAACGTTGGCGTGAGAGCAGGCGTGCCACGACGCGCTTCAAAGAGGCCGTCGCGTGCTGCAGAAATGGCGAGGTTCCCGTCACGGCTACGCCACCGCCCCGCCCGAGGGTCTGCCCGTACCGGTGACGTACGTGCACACGGGCATGGACCGTGTCGAGAGAGGACGCAGCGCCAGCGCGTCCGAAGGCGACAGCAACGACCGGAGGAGACCCCTCGTGGTCATCCTGTCGGGGGCGCCGGGCAACTACAAGGACTTCTCCTACCTCATTCCCTACCTGGACCGCAACGGATGCGACGTCGTGTCGCCCGTCTGGCCTGGTACGTGCATCGTGCGCCCCCTGCTTCGAGGGTGTGGTTCTCGCTGCGCTACTGGCTCGAGCTTGGCAGCGCGAACGCTTGTGCTTCGGGAACAAGGAACTACGAGCTCGATAGACCCCTTTCAAAGGGGGTTCCGGAAGAAATGTCCCCGGAAAAAACGTTCCCGGGAAAAAATGTCCCCGAACAAAAGTCCCCGGAAAATATGTCTCGGAAGAAAAGGCCCCAGGTGGAAAGTAGGAAAAAATGTCCCCAAAGGATTCTCTATTGCTGGGTGTTCCCCGATTCTCATGGCCTTCGGGCGGTCCTGTCATTACCCGCTCACAAACGACCTGACCAGTGGCGTACCAACTTGTTGTTGAGTGGGGGGGGGGGGGGGGGGGGGGGCAAACCAGACCTCCCCCCTCTGCCGCCCCCCCCCCCCCCCCCCAAGGCCGGGGGGTGGTGCCCTTGGTATCCCTTGGGCGCCGTCGGTCAGTGTTTGCCCTGCCCAGTGGCGGCTGTATCAGGGGGGGGGGGGCAAAACACATGCCTTGCCCCCCCCCCCCCCCGGTCGGTACGGCCATGGACCTGACCCACCTAAAGGTAGAAAGGGGGACTGGAAGTCACACAAATCAACCGAAGTAATCTAGCGGCGGGGTATTTTGAAAACCAAATTATTGTGTTTGCCAAAACCAAATTATTGTATTTTTGTGTCTTCTTTTTCTATTGTGAAAACATTTATAACACTTTTAGCCAAAAGCAAATTATTGTGTTTGGGGAAATTTGAGAGCTACTCGATTATACCATTTCAAAAGAGGTAAAACCCGCGTCACTGTTAGCAAGAACAAGCGATCGCTAGTTATTTTTTCTCTTTTTCTCGTAGAAACAAAAGGTTGTCATCAAAGTTATCGTAGGTACTGAAAGTGCTCATTTGGGTTTATAATGCAGACGGTAAAATTTCGTTCCCACTAATACTCTTATCAAGTAAAATGTGAAAATGCGCCAATGTCGGGTTCGCGCTAACAGTGTCGCGATGTGTACCTCGGGGAATCGTATATTTCCTTATTTGTAGGGGCCGTTTTTTCCTACTTGCCACAGGATGCCTTTTAATACGAGGGCATTAACTGTCTTATGAAGCGAGCTGACGTCATCAGTTGGAAACGCGAAAACGGCTCCTGGTTTCCGCGCGCCTTCGGTTCCATTGGCTAGGCGCGCGTCGACGGGGTTCCCATTGGCCGCTGCGCCATGGCCTCCGAGATCCCGAAGCGCGCGCGCGCTACTACGCAGCGGACGACAAAGGGAGCGGACGAGCGGCTTGCATGCTTTCGCATTCACAACTCATAAGAAATGCTTAAATGTACCTCGAGCTTTTTTACCAAGGACACATGACCGGACCGCCCGAAGGCCATGAGGATCAGGGAAACCCACAGATAGATAATTCTTTGGGGACATGTTTTCCAACTTCCCACCTGGGGACTTTTTTTTTTTTTTTTTTTTTTTTCGGGAACATTTTGTTTGGGGATTTTTTTTTTCCAGGGACAAATTTTCAGGGGACATTTTTTCCTTCACCCTTCTTAAATGTCTATCGGCGGTCTCCATTTTGATTTAGATGCACATTTGATAAGGCTTTTACAAAAAAAAAGTATACACAAATAATAAGACTGTTTTAACATGGGAAGCAGAAATAACAAAACCGGAAGAAAAAAAAAAGGAAAAAGGAGAGGGCTAGCTTAGGCAGGGTTGTCTTTTATTACATCTGCTTTAAATGATATACCTGAGTAGGATGGAAAATAGATTAGAAGAATGCAATTTAGGTTTTGATGTGTCATATATGAGGCGAGGGAAAAAGTAAATCCATGGTTATACCAAGAATGATCAATGCAGACGACATTGTACTATTAACAGGTAGCCGGGTGTCACGACCAAAAAAAACAATCGAGAGAAAGTTTTCCAGGTTTGACGTTGAAAAGGGTGGACCACTGACCGAGCGATAGGTCCACGCTCTGGTAGAGAGTCTGACCAATGAAGAGAGACGGAGAGGCAGCTCGTGAACACTAAGAAACTTTAATTTAGCTGAAGGCAGAAAGCTAATTAAGACAGATACACTCTTTACAAATAGCTTCTGTAATATAGGAGAGAACGCTTACAAAAATAGACTACAAATCAATGTTTACAAATGCATATACAGTTACTAATGATGTTACGATTAACCGAATCAAAAGATGCTAATTCAAGGAGTAACAGCGAGTGCGGAAAGTCTCATCTGACGAGTCGATGGGTGGACGTCTCCCTGCGCGCTCCGTCCAAGGTAGGAGGAAGTTCCGGCGGTCGGCTGGCTCACTGTGGACGGGGCCCCCCTTTTAACCTCGCACCCACTTCTTCAGCCGACACGCTCACACGCAGCGGAACTCCGCCCTGTGCTTGGCGAAAGGTCGTCGACAGTGGTCTCGTCGCCCCGCTCGACGACACGAGATGCGTCCGTTCGCTTCATAGTCTCGTCTCGCACCCACCTTTGTTCCTCGCACTCAGACCGAGGTCACCGAGGTTCGCGCACCAAGCGCGGAAATTCCCCTCTCGGTCATTGCCCTGCGGATCTGCCCTTTGGCCCTGAAAGTAACCCGAGCCTACGGCAAGGCAGCCAAGAAGCGGGGGCTACGCGCGTTAGGGGGTGTCCAAACAGGACACTACAAAACGCACGACTCCGACAAACCGTGAAAATTGAAGCGGACGCGCCCGCTTCAATTTTCACGGTTTGTCGGAGTCGTGCGTTTTGTAGTGTCCTGTTTGGGCACCCCTTTAGCCCACTGAGCCCGGGCGAGTGAGGTGAGGGGACGGGAACCACCGAGTGAGGTTAAGAAAAACACGAGACCAGGCGGCCGCTCACGTCGACAAGACACTCCTCCCCGACCTTTGTATATTATCCTTGCCGTTTTATGTGACACCGGGATTGGAGCTGATTAAGATCACTGGAGAGGAAGGAGACTCTCTTGGCATGGAATTCAGTAGCGACAAGTCGGGAATAATGGTTTATAACGATGAGAGGGGGGACCCGCTGAAAATTCAAGTCGTTTTAATAAAACACGTAGAGAGAAGTATAAATATCTATGAGTATGGCTGAACGAGGGTAAACGGTACTTAGCAGTACAGGAAGAAAATACGCTAAAGAAAGGAAAAAGGAATGCAGCAATTATGAAGCATAGGGCACTATGGAATATCACAATAAATATGAAGTTGTTAGAGGAATATGGAAAGGAGTCATGGTGCTGGGGTTGTCTTTTGACAATATGGTATTATGCACGAAATTGGTGGTCCAGTCGAGTTTAGAGAACCGACAGAGGAGCGTCGGCAGACTGGCACTGGGGATGCATGGGAAAGCACCAGTGTTGGGTAATGTACATCTAAAAAGTACTTGAAGTACAAAGTAAATGAGTGGTGATGTACTTCAAGTAAAGTAGTGAGTACACCGGGTGCAATGTGCTTGAAGTACTATAAATAGAATTTAATTTCACTCTCAAGAAAAAAGGGTGTAAAAGGGTGTATCGTTACACCCTTTGTCCCATATAATACATCCTAAAACTTCATTTTGACGTTCTCAGCACTATATAGTCGAACAGACGGCCCCAAATTTTACGAGAGGCTTGATAACGGTGCGATAGAACTTTTTAAATAAATAAAGTACGTATCAATGACCACAGAAAGAAAACACGGAGTTTTTACAGTAGGGCCAAGAAAACCTCAACTATCTTTTTTTTTTTTTTTTTTTTGTAGTCAGTAACACGTACATTAGCTATTTTCATAAGTTGTACGTACCCCACGGCTATCAAGCCCCTCGTAAAATTTCGGGCCGTCTGTTCGACTGTAGGGCACTGCATATGTCGAATTGATGTTTGAGGGTGTATTATATGGGACAAAGGGTGTAAGAATACACCCTTTTACACTTTTTTTTTTTGAGAGTGTTCAAAGTAAAGTACAAGTACATTTTAACACAGTCTTTCACCATGCCCTTCCTTCCCCTCTACAATGATTTTTTAACTGGTATGCATTGCCCCAGGGTAATTTGGGTGCATCAGTTGTGTTGGGAAATGGCGGTGAATATTGGATAAAGTCAAGTGGCCACAGAAAGTTATTTTTAGAAATGCGCCAAATTTAGAAGTCCGGCTTCTGAATTTTGCACCGCTCGTACTGGCTTGTTGCATTAAACAACCAGGAAACTTTCAAGTCAAAGGAAAAGACGAGAGGGGGGAATGACTCAAACCATTGAGACATTCTCCTCTGTTGTCTTTTACTTCGACTTGAAAGTTTCTTAATTTTTCCGCATCAGTTTCAGTTGTTACATTATGATTAATTGTCCTCTCCTGATATCTTCAACCTCCTCGCTTGCGCTGACCGAGCAAGAAGTAGCGAAAGTTCGCAAAGCTATAAAAGAAAGCCGCCCCCCAGAACAAACGGAGCGATGCGTTGTCTACTTGCATTTGTGGTGAGACCTCCTGGTATTTCTTCAGAGTTGACAAAGTATCATTTTATAATGCAAATTTAACTGGACCAAATTCGGGGAATGTACTTTGAAGTCAGGGGTTGTACTTTCCTCACAAAGTACCACAAAAAATACTTTAAGTAAATTACAAGTACATGCCCAGAGGATGCACTTAAAGTCAACTACAAGTTTTCTAAACTTTCTTGAAGTATTACTTTAAGTACAATGTGCTTAAAGTAGTTGCCAACACTGGAACACACAAAACAAAGGAGTGCAGGGGGACATGGGCATGGCATCGTTCGAGGTTAGAAAAGCGATCGGCCAGTTGAAATTCGAACGAAGGCTGGACACGATAAAGGATACACGATGGGCGAGAAAGGTATATAAGCATTTTTATGTGAAAATTTTGAACGAAAAATGGACAAACCGAACCCGGAAACTGAAATACCAAGAGTCAAGTGCTGTACAGAGCAGACTACCTCTGTAAAAAAGGAGTAAAAAAAGCCGGGAGAAAATCGTGGGGAGGAAAGAATGCAGGGAAAATCAGCTTTAGTTATGTATAGGGAACGGAAACAGGAAATAAGGAAGGAACATTGCTACGACAATTTACGGGGGAGCTCGTTGTTATTTGAGGCTAGAACAGGAGTATTGAAGATTAGGACATATAAGACAAAGGACGAGGAAATGGACACGCGGTGTGCCGCATGCCAAGGGGAAGACGAGACTATAGAACATGTGATGTTTAGGTGCGCAGGGCTTGCTCCCGCACTCCCGGAGGGGGCGACGAATTTAGCCGGAGCGCTGGGGTTTGCAGACGAGAATAGAAGAATTGATGACAAGTGCACTTTAATAACGAAGAGGAGATTAGAAGAGGCTGGTGGAAATCATCTATGGAGAATTCAATGACGCGCAACTAACTAACACAGCTGGGGACAGGCGGGACTGAGGCCGCGTAGCTCCGGCCCAAGGCGCAGTGGGCCCGGTGCTAGGGTAACGCCGACTAGGCTTGACCAGAGGAAAATCGGCGACTCCCTCGCCGGGGGGAACAGGCGGGTGGTGGTGTTTTTAGTTTTCTTTTCCCGGCCCCCAAAGTTCATCCTGGTGATATCCCACACCGCCTGGGGAGAGTTGCAGAGGAGAAGCAAATTGGCTTAAAAGGGCAAAGGAGAAGTGATACTTTTTTTCTTTTTTTTTCTTAATTGTAAGCTAGGTGGCGCAAGCTACTGCCCGATATAAAGCGAGTTAGCGTCCATCCATCCATCCATCTTGGGGGCGCGGGGCGTGTGATTGGGTCCGAGTCCTCGTTGAACGCTGACGCAGCACTCGTGTCCAATACATACACAGAATACAGTCGCGTGCGATATTTTGCACCCATAATGCGCGAAGAAACGAGAGCGATAGCTGCAGCAGAGTCGCGCAATGCGGATGGAATGGTACCGTCACGTCCCTGAGGGCGGAGGTGCGACGTGGTTAATTCTTATAGCCGTCGTGGTTGGCGCCGTGGATGCCACTGACGACTGCCACCAGGGATCCGTGAAATAAGTGGGTAAGCGCGGCGGAAGTTTCTAAACACCATCCAACATTACGCGAAGCGACTGCATACTGCCAGAGTGGGATTTCGCATGACGCGAGTAATGTTTGAAAGCAAGTCTTTCAAGCAGACGACAGGAAAACTCTCCTTTCGTCGCGTCGTTATGGGCGGGGTATCGTTGTCCCCTCTCTTCCCTCTCCGCGCTGCGTGGCCGACGGGAAAACCCGACTTTCCTGGCCTCGCGCCAAAAGCGGAGAGAAGGGTTGTTCCATAGCAGCGCGACGACAGCCCACGAGCTCGAAACATCTGCAAAGTGCCGCCCGTAAACCTTTAAAAAGCCCAGGTGAGCGCGTGGCCTACATTAAATTTTTCTATACGAAAAAGTAACGACATCCTTCGAAGATTACCGTCTGCTATCTTGGAGCGCGATCCAGGCGGCACAACCGTCGACGTAATTACAACCATGGATGCGGTTCCCTCCGCGAGTGGTGTGGATGTGGTTCTTTCCACGAGTGATATGGATGACCGTATCCAAGGGCGTCGACGTACCCCGACAGGCAGAGTGTCCTGAAAACGGGTGAAAAAATTACAGGAAGGTCTATTGGTGGATTCTTAGGAATCCGTTAGCATGACCCTTGTAAAACGCCACACAGGTCCCCTTTTTGGGAAACGCTAACACCGACTACGTAACGAGGCCAAAAAGAGGCAGCAAACAAAAAAAAAATAGATGGAGAAAGAGAGAAAGCCAAAGCAAAAAGCGAAGGGGTCAGCGTTAGTGTTTCCAAAAAGGGGACGTGTCCGGCATTTCCAAGGATTATGCTAACACATTCCTTAAGAATCCACAAATAAATCTTCCCGTAATTTTTTTAATTATTTCACCGTGCATTATACTACTATTGACGTTGACTCAGCACTCGTTTCCCTACCGAAAAAAAACGAAGACAACAGTGTAACTTTTCACATTATGGATCATGGAACTGGAAATCTAACTGGAATTGTTTCTGGAAACTTGAAATCCAGTTTGCAAAAAAAGGAATAATTTCCGAAAACCTGAAATCACGACATAATCCAGGCAGATTTCCAGTTTCATAATTCAGATAGCGAAAAATTGTACTGATTTTTTTTTTTTTTCGGTAGGGTTGCCGGCCCTTTGGGCAGTAAGGACAAAAGTCGGGCAACTGCTGAAATGCTGCTCATTCACACAATATACTCGATGATAACTCAACTTTCTTCCGTATATCAGGGCGAATGATGAGTCTGAAAACATGGTGAGACCTAAAAAGACTCTGCGCCTTTACGCTGAACATGACATTGCACATAGTTACGTCATGCTTTGCGCCGCAGCAAAGTCTGCGACGCAGAGCATGACGTATGCGTAGAGCATACGTCATGCGTAGAGCATAACAGTGATCTTCGGAGCCACGCGATTGCCATGGGCGTTTTCGTATCGTTCGCGATTGTACGTGCCCAGACACTTTTGAAAAGGGTCCGTGCAGTGTCTACTGCTACAGCCTGTCGGTTTCTCGATATGGACGGTGTTTTTCTGCACACTTGCTGCGTGGTGCACGTCAACAACCGAGGGGCATTGGCCTTGGAACTTGACCGCAGGGCTATGGCCGAAGCCCAGGAAAAGCCGGGGGTTTAATCTTGGAAATTTTTCCTGTTTTTGACGCATGGACCGATCTTAAAAGGGCCTCTCTAGAGCGAGAACACGCCAAGGCAGATTAACTTTTCGCTGATGTAACCGAGTTCGCTGTGGCAGTGCCGATTTGTGCAACGTCAGTTTTGTGTTGTTGTGGAGAGGTTCCAACCCTTTTTCTCGCAGCAGAAAATGGCGGACCAGCACGCCAACTTGTGTTGCGAGCACAAACAGCCTACCCCGTCGAGCTGTTTTCACATTCCTATCTCAACTTTGAACTTTCTTTGGCAATGCATTCGAGGGTACAGAGGGGCGTACTTTCGCGCACCTTGAAAGCCAATTAACATGCGACGCGCCTTCTCTTTGGGAATCTTGAGTTTGTCGCATTATTCGAAAGACTATGCGCTCTACAAATAATGCAAGTATCAAGGATGGTCATTAGATAAGGATATCTAAGGTTGATGTAGGCTAGCTAGCTTCGTGGTTCGAAGCGCGTACGACCACGGGTAATAAGCATACACAAGTGGATGCTTCGTAGTACGTGACACTCGCATACGTTCCGCTAGCTTCACGGTCCGCGATGCAAATGTCAGATGCGCTTCGTCGAGAGGGAGAGCAAACGGTGCCAAGGGATGCTGCGACAAAACATTGGCAAACGTCCAAAGAGCGGTTCAGTAAGTCGCTGCCTAGAAACGAGATATAGTACCAGCAGTGGCGTAGCCAAGAATTTTTTTCGGGCGGGGGCGGGAGGGTGGGGAAGAGGGAGCGGGTGCGCTGAGGTGGCTGGGGTGTCCATGACTTGGGGTGTGGAGAGGGGAGGGGTGGGTAGGTCAGGATTCATGTGTATATTATAGGGTGAATTTCGGGGGGACGTTGTTCTTGTCGTTGGTGTCACTTTGCTTCCTTTTTTACATGGTGACCCTGCTATGACTTGTAAATTTAGCCCACAACCTGTCAGCTTTTCAACGCGGGCTACCAGACGCAAACGATAAGAAAATGCAATCTCTTGCCGACCACCCATGAGGAACGGGGGGTTCCTTTAATTATTATCAGTAGTATATATACTATGATAATTATTTTGTTAATAAGAAAATAGATCCGCTCTCGCTCTGGAGGGTTCTAATCAGGTCTATACGTTGTTCTTGTCGTTGGTGTCACTTTGCTTCCTTTTTTACATGGTGACCCTGCTATGACTTGTAAGTTTAGCCCACAACCTGCCAGCTTTTCAACGAGTATTTTGTCATTTTGTTGTCAGACCTCGCCTTCAGTCGAAAGAGTGGCTGCTGGTGGCATTCGAGTCAGGAGAAGACGAACTTGGCTCTCGATTTTCTCAGGACCATAGGAATTAAAGAGTGAGTACTTTCTCTCTCTATCCGACGGACCAAACTCAATCCGTGGGGAGGTTTGAGTTCTGTTATTCTCCAGCTGATATAAGATGGTATATAACGAAAATGACTAACGACTGATGTGGGTCCTCGCGTCGACCACGTGAATTCAGATGGGTCTCATTAAATCACTTTTTGAGTGCCGGTGTCAACTCAGATTGACGTTATTATATAAAATCTGCAGCTGTAACTTCGCAGACTCTCCTAGGGCCGGCAGTGTGAGCTGGAACAATGAAAGCACCTTGATCGTTTCTACGAGTTCTATCGTCAACGGCACCAGATGAAACATCGCGACACCCGTTCAGATGGATTGAACCCCTTGCGTTTTGTCTGATGGCTCTTCTTTTCAGAGCCGACATGTTGGTGGCGCACAGCAGCGGGAGCTACCCGGCATTGCGCATGATTAACAATGAGCATGGACTCAAGGTCAAGTCCCTGGTACTGCTTGCACCTGCGGGACACAAGCCAATTACGTGAGCTGACTTTCGTGCCTACAACCTTCGCCTGGATCTTTCAGGTTCAGGAATATTAGCTCTCTGGACGTGTGGGGACGTAGCAATCGCTGCAAATCTACTTGAATTACAAAAAAAAAAAAAGTTTATTGCTCCTGTGTGCTTACACACGCCACTCACCGGCTGGAATGATTTGGAAGCTACAAGTGCTAGCGGCCCTGCCCGTGTATGCTCGTGTACCAGTGCGCTCAGCGGGCCTAGGAATACCTCAGCGCGATGAAAGAAAAATCGGCACAGCCAATTCAGAAGCGGAGGGAAACGAGATTGCAAACTTTACCAAAGCATTCCTGATAGCTCTGATTGGATAGACGTTGCTCTGCACCACGACGTGAATTAGCTCGATGTTGTCTTGAATCACTGTTGAGCAGTGACCATACAAACATCCATTTGGTTCTTTCTACGGCGTCAAGCTTGCTCTCAGCTAAGCATATGCCACCAAGGTCAGCGAAGCTCCGAAGTGATCTTTCCACAATGTATGGTAGACAAGATGGCGTGTGCCCTCGGTTTCACTTGGCGCAAGCACAGAGTGCCTGCGAAAGCGGTGTCACGTGAGCAACTGCTGTCCGAAGTCGCAAGCATGCTGAAGATGCTCATGGTCAAGGCTAAGGTTCCACTATATATGTTTGTGTGACTTGTGGGTTCCTCCTTGGAAAGGGATACCCACGTAGAAACAAGGGGGGGTGTGGGTCCGTAGAATGACGTTTATTGGCGAATACGCCACCACTCTTGCCCGTCGGCCAAACAAATGAAAGTAAAGACTAAAACAGGTCGGCGCTGTCGTATCAGACAGATTCACCTGGAGGTCTCCACGCTACCGTACTAGGCAGATTCGTGGGCAAGGGGAAGCAGCAAAAAGGAAGAGGCTTCAAGGACCAGAGCCTCCCCAGGAGAGATCGAGAGAGTCTTCGGCTCCCGCCCCCCTTCCCCGGTCCGCATATGGGCCGCGTCCACAATCACTCTCAAGAGTGTGCCAGTAGCAGATTTACCCAAAAGGGCTGGGAGACAGACACCGCCTTCTTCGAGGAATGCGGCCTCACCCCGTATCCGGGAAGCCGCCGCCATGGCAGTCCCCACGGCCTGCCTGTGCCTAGATAAGGAGACGGAGAACACATGATTCCCACAGATTTCAGCTCGGGCTGATAGCCGCCATCTTGACCTAAACCGCCCATTTCTTCGCTCTCTTCCAACTTTGCGTATTGTGGCGAATTATAGAGCGCGAGTAGTATACATTCCATTCAGGGTTGTGTAGAAACACCTCGAGGAACTTCAGCATGTTTATCGGTGCCGTTTACTCCGGTAAGCACAGAGTCGCACTGTCGTCGTGTCCGCACAAGGCTCGGCAAGCAGTGCCATCACACGAGAAAGAGGGCCGGGTACTACGAGGCGCCATACAGGCTGTTGCAATACGAGCACTGCATGCGCTGGGAGACACATGCGCGACAAAGCTATCCAACCCGACTTGCGAACTGTCGGAAAGATGACTGCTCCGACTCGCTGCACGTGACAGATCGAGACACACGCTTCCGACGTGTCGTTCCGTATCAGCTCCGCTACAGTGAACTAGAGACTGTAGCTCCGCCCAATTTTGAGTATACCTCTACCTGGGGGAGGGATGGATGTAAATGGCTGTATTTATAATGGGCGGTAGATTGGGCCACCCAGCCTAGAAACCTAAATTATTCCCCTCGCCCTTCGTAGTTTTCCTGACTTTAAACTTATACTTCATTAAAGTGTGCATGTCAGATTTTACTAAACGTTACTTTTTTTTTGCTTAAAGTCACTTAATCACGACGGACCACAACGGACCTTAGGAGCCATTCCAGCGAAGCGAGCACTGCGCACAAATCACGCGACTACTCACCCCACGCATTGCTGCGTCTCTCCCGTAGTTTAAGTGACACTCACACGGCATTGGAATGGCTCGTAGCGTCCGCTGCTGTCCCTCATAAGGTGAAACGGAGTATGCATATTCGGGTCTTGACGATCTTGATCGGTCCTAGGAGGCCGGCCTGCTATGGACGCGCGAAATCTTCAGCAGCTCGTTTTGTGCGCGCGGGAAAACTTCATGGCGTCCATTGCCTTCTCACTTCATGACGACGACTCGCCGTGACGCACCACTTACATCCGCTTCCCCTGTCCTGCTCTCTCGATTGGGCCTGTCTTCTCGTGACAGCATGACGTTTGCGCCAGCCGTCCTGCCATTGGCTGCGGCCCTCCGACAGTCGGACGGCGGCGGCGGTGTTGGTCGCATGCCGGAGCCGGACGTTCCGAAGTTCGCACGTCGGATCGGACACTTTTGACGCGCATGTGTAATGCACTTTAGTTGGACACTCGGCGAGAAAGTCGGCGAGACTGCCGACTGCCGCGATTGGCCAGCGCTGCGCTTGACCCACCTAGGCGCTGGCCAATAGCAGTGTGGCGCTGGCTAATGGCTGCAATCAGCGATCTCACCGACTTTCTCGCTGATTGTCCTACTTAGAGCCCCAGGACAGGCTCCGCCCCCGAATTCCCAAATAAAAGTGACATCATTACGCCACTCACTATCGACGAATCATTCTTCTGACGTCACAAAAAGGGAAGAGATTCCCGCTCTTTTCAGAATCGGTACCCAATGCCCTCCGGGCGTTGAAGTGTGTGCCTGCTTTCTCATGGACGAAGGCTCTTCTGCAGTTATGTTGCAGGAGGCTATATATTCAGGGACAACTTTTTGTGTGCGCCTCCGAAGACAGGAGGAGGAGCCAGCGTTCGTCCTGTCCACTTCTTCTACTAGTCCTCGTCCTTAGCGCTGTTTTTTTCAACAGTTCATTTTGTGACAGGAGAAGTGCACGCAGCTTTGATAGGTGCTCAAGCACGCCTTCCTGCAACTTTGACTGCCACAGAAACTTGTCCCCGACAGCATATATGATCGGGCGCGCGGCTGTTTCGGCGACAGCGCGCACAGGCTGTGACCGTGTGGCTGACACGGGCGCGTGCACCCGTCCGGGGCCCTCCGTGGCGTGTCTCTTGCAGCAAGATGAACCCCCATTGGTTCCCGCAGTTGCTAAGCTGGCTCTACATGCGGCCGGGCCCTTACCAGAGGATCGTCGAGCTCATGGGGCTCGCCTTCCTCACCGTCACCAGGCACCCGCTCCGCCGGAACATGGACAACGTCCTGCTCGCCATGAAGGCCATGCTGTACGCCGACAAGCCGCAGGTTTGTAGCTTACACCAACTCATGTTTGGATGGATGGATGGATGGATGAATACGGCTGAGCCCTTTGGATCGGGCGGTAGCTTACGCCACCTAGCCATTTTGTTTTACCATTTAAGCTTAGAATATTTAAATGTGAAATCTATATTCACTCCGCAGTGCAAAGAAAGTGAGGCTATGAAACCCCCTTGCCATCAGTGGATAAGAAAATACCTAGTTTTCTCTCGATTTCTGCCACCATTCACTTAATCTTTGCTTGGTAATCTCTACAGTCTTGAAATCCACTCTCCCTTCGCTGTCTCTAAAACCCAATGACTTTATTAAATCTATGTTGTCTTCGGTAGGCATAGGGTGAAGCCCTTTACAGTAGAGTATCAAGTGCTCAGCCGTCTCCTCCTCCTCTCCACAAGCAGTGCACACTGTATCAATTTCCTGGTACTTCACTCTGTATGTTCTGGTTCGCAGAACACCCGTTCTTGCCTCAAACAGCAATGAGCTTCCCCTAGAATTGTCATAAATGCTTTCTTTGGCAATAACTCTTTTGTTTAATCTATAGCTTTCCAGAGCCGTCTTTGTCTGCATTCCCTCTAGCCACCAATCTCTTTTTTACAAACAAACCGGAGCGCCCCTAGCGGACGCCACCGGCGCCGCGCATGCGCGGTGGACGGTGGGCAAGAAGCCCGCCGTCGCCCATAAACAAACCATTGCATTGCGTTGTTTTCGGCGTCAGTGGGAGTCCCCGTGCTCTTTTCCGCGTTAAAATTGTTAATTCTACGTCCTCCTAACAATGTCTGACTACTTGAGCGGCTTCAGCAAAATTAACGAGGCAAAAATTTGCGTAAATAATGTGACTTGCGGCGATTCATTTCACGTGGACGCCGCAGAATGGGCGCTAAAGCCTGACTCGCACGAAGAGATTCTGCTCGCTATTTTCAGTCGCGACGTCGCTCGGCCTGCAAAAGCGTGGACCGTAGCTGAGATGGTGGACGTCGATACTGAAAACCGCAAGTAGAATCGGGCATTATAAATCGGTGATGGCCACTGGTAACAATGATCAACATCTTCTTGTATCTACTGTTTACACTTCTTACCCCAACCAACCTTCAAGAGTGTTTTGAGGCCTGCACTTAGTTCTTATCGTAATTACCGGGTCAACGTTTGGTTCACGGGCCGCTGTCGTTTGAACGAGCTGACGACTAAAAGCAGACAAGTTTGAAAGAGCAGACGACAGTTCGAACGCTTGCGCAATTGAGTGTGGGCAAGAAGCACCACGTCCCGCGTCAACAAACCATTGGAATGTCACGTTGTCGGCGTCTGTGTGAGTCTGCATACTCTTTTTCGCTTTGGAATTGCCTATTCTACGTCCTCATAGCTATGTCTTACCACTTTAATCGCCTCAGCAAAATTATCAAGGCTCGTTACACCGCTAAAATTTGCGTAAATAATTTGACGAGCGGCGATTCATTCGCGTGACCGCCGCAGAATGGAGGCCAAAACCATGATGAGATTCTTCTAGATATTTTCGGTCACGACGTCGCTCGTGCTGCAAAAGTGTAGAAGGTAGCGGCGATGATCAACGTCGATACTGAAATTCGGAAGAGGGAACAGACCAAGCGTAACAAGTTGGTGATGGCCACTGGTACCAATGATCAACATCTTATATCTATTGTTTACACCGACCCTACAGTAGTCTTTTGAGGCCTGCAATTACTTCTTATTGCAATCACCGCGTCAAAGTTTGGTCTACGGGCCGCTTTTGTTTGAACGAGCAGACGACAAAAAGCAGGCTCGAAAGAGCAGACGAAAGTCCGAATGATCATGCGGCCGTGTGAATTTGAAGATGCACTAAACCCGCGGGTGGCCCGGACAACTTGGCGGTTTTCTCTCGTTTATGTTGGAACAAAACAAATACATCTGCCGACCAAAAAAGTGTTGCCCGCACAAGCAATCGTAGTTCTACAGCGTCTGGTTTACCCTTTTCACGGCTACTATCTACGTACTCGGACGAACGGAGCGGAAAGAAACACATGAAAACTGATCTTCAAACCTTTCCAGACTTTTTTAGTATAGTCCCCGTCGCAGCATTTTGACGAGAACGCAGGTTTTTTGTCCGGTTTACCCGAAAAGAACACAAGAATGCATGCCTCGCACGGCGACTTCTGCCCACCGCCCCAGACCGGAAGTGCGACCGACGCGCCACCACCGCGGCGTGACGTAGGAGAGTTGAGTTCGTGTGTAGCTTGAGACTTCCGCGGCACAGCCGTGCAAACGCGACAGCAGCTCGGCACGCGCGTGTTCTGCGCCTTGGATGACGAGCAAAGCAGTTGTTAGCGTTGAAAAAAAACAAAAATCGAAAAAGAAAGGACTGAAACTTTTTCATTCGGACTGTCTGACACTGAGTAATGAACTTGCAACGACAGCGGGGTCGCCAAAATCCATTGTACTGATGTCGCCTGAATGCTGGATGCTCGCATGCACCACGAGAACTCATAATTGAAGATGGATAACTCATAAAGCTATGAGCCCGATCTCCTTGCATTAGCGCTTCAATATTCATATGTATAGTACATGCGTGAGCGGTAAAAGCGAACTCTAGGGTTGAAGTCATTATGGTTGGTATGCTCTGTCAGCATCTTGCAGATTGCATGCATGAGGCCACTGTGCACGCCTCCCATTATGTTCCCACGGCTACTGGCCTCAAGACGTTACCAATGCCCAGGTATATATTAGGGCTCGGCAACTGATCGATTAACCTACCGATTAATCGATTAATGCTTTAATCACGATTAATTTTTTTAACTCGTTAACGGTAAAATTTAGACGAACCAAAAAACTCAAAATTAAACACTTCCATAACGCAGACGTGGACGAGTACGCCTGTACGAAGGGCGAACTTTAGGTCAAATTTTACAATAAGATAAACTGTATAGGGGCGATATATTTGTAGCATCAGATTTAGTGCAGAGGTTACGCAAGTCCCCGGCCAATCCATTGTCGTTTGAGTGTCTGTTTAGCGCAGTACTATAGATACAATTGTGAGCAATGAAAGGAAGTCGCTCTGGCTAGAGAATATCAACGAACATCTTTGCCTTACGCATCAAAAGTAATATACTGTGAAAGGTCTTTGATACTCTTCTTGATTAATTTATAATTCAAGTTGTACATTGCACCGTTTATCACATATTCAGCAAAAAAAGGACTTTTTTTAAATATTTTGCAATGAAATAAACGCGACCGATTAATCGATTAATTAATCGATTAAAGGGTGGCGATTATTCGGGTTAAAACTTTTAATCTACGCCCAGCTTTATTATATATATATATATATATATATATATATATATATATATATATAAATCATTCGTCTGGCACGTCCATCTATGTATGAAGTCTCCCGATCGACTTTTGAGATTTCTCGTAACCGGCTCGCTTGGACAATCTTCATTCAGCTAAGCTGGGGCAGGAACCGACCGAGATGAGCACTTGAACAAAAGCTTGGTTCTCTTGCACGTTGGAAGTTTTTGCGCCGACCCGCTTCGTTTCTCCTTCCGACGTGTCCAGCTGAAGAAGGATGCCGAGGCCGTCGCGGCGCGGAAACTGCCCACTCTGGTAGCCATCAGCGACAACGACAAGCTGATTGACTTGTCCACCAGCTTAGAGCTGGTGCCGATCATCGGGGGATCTTCCGACAACACCTGGTACTACGATCAGGACAAGCGGCTCAAGCAGAAAGGTGGGCATGCATGCCGTCGTCTGCGTTCAATGTTCACCGGTCCATGCCAATCCCACCTATACTCGTTTTCACATCAAGGTTTGGTTGTCGGGGGAAGAAGCGATGCTTTTAGCGTTTGCAACGTGTACGTCTTGGTAAGAAAACATATATATCTCATCTAAAAAGCACCTAGATATATCTTAACTATCTACATAAAGGGAGAATTTAGTAATGCTCCACAAGATGCCGGACTTTTTTTTTTTTTTTTGCTACAGTTTTTGCAAGGCGTGCTTATGACGTCATCGTTAAGAAATATCCGACGCGTCCCAAGCAACAAACACGCTGAGACTAACGCAGCAAAAGTTGACACAAAGAAATGATAATAATAATATTCTGCTGAAACCTGCGAACTGGTTTCGAGCTTTTTTAGCCTCTCGGTTAAGGACGTTTAAATATCTTGCTGCTGTCGGTGCTGTTGGGGCAACATCTTGGGTCTCTTGCGGAGGAGATGGTTGACTTCACCACACGACAGGTTTATCTGAACGCCTATACACGTTTGCAAGTCCGGTCTCAGGGCGCCGCCATCTTCCTCAGTGGGGTGCGCTCTCGGGAGCGGCCATAATCCGATTACGACGCTTTAGCAAGGCTTCGTAATCGGATTATGACTGGTCCAAGCGCACCCCAGACCGGCAAGATGGCAGCGCCCTAAAGCCGGACTTGCAAACGTGTATAGACGTTTTCTGTTTCCTGTCACGTGGGTTCTGTATCTGGTACGCGGGACGAAAAAATAACAAAACATTTAACTTGGAATATGCGAGAAATTATAGATCAGGCAAAACAAGAATGTGTGAAAATCACGAATTTTTCGTAAACTCCTTCCAGCGGCGTGGAGAGATCAAAGCGACGTTCTACCGCATTCCAGGAGTTACGACATTCAAGCTGACTGCGCCCTTGTGGAAAAGGTGTATAGGTGGCTCCACCGCGCGGCAGCCACACGCGCTATTTGCCCTCTGCAGTCAACGCCTGGATATTGAGGTGGTAGTGCAACAGATTTGACACGAATCGGCGTTCGGCTGGAGTCCGCTGTTCAGTCATCCTCGTTATCTGGGAGGTGTTGGTGCGGTGTGTGTCATTTTCTCTCACGCTGGCCCGAATACGATTGTAGCACTCATTGTTTTCGAACTGCGAATTCTTTCAACGTTAAAATCGTTGCACTAACCCTTTAAATAAGCTGCCCCGAGTACACGTATCCGGTTGACAGGGAGTTTTGGTGGGTCGTTACGATAACTCCGATAACGATACCCGATGCTCCGCCGACGCATTTGCGCATGCATCGTATCGTTATCGGAGGAGGTTATCAGAATGACTTACTAAAACTCCTCGGTACGTGTGGAACTGCCAATGCCGTCAACGCTACTGGCACCCGTGCACGCACACTTTTCGCTGCTTCAGATCAATGGCGTAGTCCCAAAAAATCTTTTTCTGGCCGGGGTGGAAGGAGAGGCTGAGGTGCGGGATAGATCTAGGGCCTGAAGCTTCATATAAGCTCCTGCTACACCACTGCTTCAGGTGCACCACAGAGAGTCGTGCCCGATTTATTTGTAGAACCGCGTATGTCGTACGGCCGATGTTCGCGCCGTGCTGGCCGCTAAAGTGTTCCACCCACTGATCATCGGTCCTTCTTGGTTTTTGTTTTCTTGGCCAGGCAACGGGAACGGACCGGTGAAGACGCTACGGTTCGAGAAGGGCACCCACTACCTGTTCACCCGGTGCGCGGACATCATCAACCCCGAGATCCTGAATCTCCTCAACCGCACCGTCGGCCGAAACTGATGAGCGCCGCTGTTAAAGGGACCATGGATCGTGGGCGGCTTGATTCTTTAACTCCGTGTTCTAGAAGAGGGGGGAATTAGCCGTAGGATTGCCAGAACAATATGGCGCCTCAAAATATCAAGCGCTGTAGAAAATCAGCGAACCTGCGTTAAAGGCCGACGACAAGATTCGAGATTCTGCAAGGCAGAAGATCCTTCTCGTTATGGGGGAGGAGGAAACAGGCAACGATGGACAGAGTAGAAAGGGGAGAAGAGGAAGCGAGGGAAAAGTGGAAAGCGCAAACTAGTCGTCTGTCTTTAAGTCCATTTTGAACTTTTTTTCTTTTCGTTCCGCCCATCGGAAAAGCAGGGCCGAAGAGCCCAAGTGCGCACCTGACCTTGCTACACCGCCGTCTCCTTACAGTCCGTCTGCACCGAGTGTCAGACGCGCACGCGAAAGCAGCGTCTGAAACCATATATACGGCTCTATCCAAAGTCAGCTATACAGCCGCGCAGATGACAATCGGAAGATGTCGTCTACCGTTGCTGGCTTCAGACGTTCACTAGCTGTATAGTTCAGACGCTGCGTTCGCGCGTTCCTCCCGTGGTTCCTCCATAAAAAAAGAGGTACTTCGTTGCCGTGGTGATGCCGACCATATAGCAGACGGACTTTATCGTGCGGAAGGAGACGGCGGGGAGATCGGATGCGTATTTTGGATCTTACGCCGTGCTTCTCGATGGGCGGAGCGTGAACGAGAAGGGTTCAAAATAAGAAATTGACGCAGATGGCCCATTTTCTCCAGCGCCTAATATTTTGCCGATTCCTACACAAAAACCAAAATGCCGAATCTTTTTTTTTTTTTTTTTGTTTTTTGCTAGGTTGGGATAATGTTTATACTTTGTCGCTCCGAGCCGATGGGGACCAATAAGAATGTGCAACGTCATGGCATTCGTCATGTTTTCGTATGTGCTCTATCATAGCTATAAACCAATCGTGTACAGGGAAGGTCCGGTGACTTGCGCTTTTAGCACGGACGTTCGTGGTTTTCTCTGCTCGTGCCTTCCACTATGCATGCTCGGACGCGAGATTCATTCAAAACGTTCGTGATGATAAAACACCTACACTTCGTTTTTGGGGCCCCCGCGCACTATTTCTCTTTCATCTTACGCTACGTTCCGATGGATCCAACCAAGTAGCACCAAAAGTGCATCGTCACGGAGTTCGTTCTCTTTGTCACATCGGCGGCCATTTTAGTGGCCTTGCTGCCGAGCGCGTACCTCCGGGAGCATACAGTTCGTACCGTCAATTTCTTTTTTTTTTTTTTTTTTCCTTGGCAACAAGTAGAAATTACTCTCTATCACCATGGTGCGATGAAGGCCACGTGCAGGCCATGTATACTGTTCGAGTTCGACGATTTCCGCCATGCACCGCGTGGTAATTGGCCACGAACATTGCCGGTTCTTGCCGAGTCTAAGAATGGAATGCGACGTTGAGGTCCTACACTTCCGAACCCCTTGACTAGTTGAGTGATAAAAAAAAGCTCGTGGTGACCTCAGATGCAAAAAAAGGCCGGATCGCGCGTTTCAGTTTATGTCGTCCGCGGTGGATACCTTCTACAACTGAGCCGATCCTCTGCGAGCCCGGACAACGGTGATCTTTCTGATCCGAGTACCGCATGGACCAAACCGCGGTGCTACGTCAATGAGACTGACATACCTCCCGAATAAAAGTATACACGCACCCTTCTGGCGTCATTCTTATACTGGTCTACACGCGCAACCGTACTTAATTCACCACAGGAACAAAAAAAGTGTGTTTTTTTTTATTTTTTGTACGCAAGTGCTGGATTTGTCGCTTCGCCTTCCCTGCATCTACCTGTCGCAACATCACCGTTTCATCATCGTGACTTGTGGACAGGGCCAACGAAACATGCGAGGGCATGTCCCTGCAGTCAAGCAGGTAAGACGGATGAGCTGGGTCGGATTGCTGGAAATTAAAATTGCATCGAATATTAGCGAGTTTTAGAATAGAGGGCCCCACAGCTTGGGGCGTCCCACTGAGCATGCGCAGAACTTTTGAACATGCCCATTGCGATGCCCCGAGCTGTTTGGGGCACCCAAAGCTTTGGGATTCCGTATTCTAAAACACGCTATTATTCCATAAGCACGGCCAAGCCATAAGCGCACGGGCGTGCAGGACCCCGCTTCATGCTCTCCCGTGCCCCACTGCTGTTTTGGCACATCACGGTGGCTCTTGTTGGCCTTGCTGCTGAGTGCGTATGCTGAGCGCGTATGCGGAGCACAAATTCGCCTGCTTCTTTTTGCGGGGGTTGTGGTTACGTCACAACGCCGAGCTCCGGGTGGCTTCGGTTGGAAGGATAGGGGGTAGACCTCAAAGCAAGCTGCCTTGAGGTCTACCTAAATTCCCTCGATGCTTCTTTTACGAGCCCCATAACGACAACCAATACAAATGACAACACACGTTCCGCTGAAACAAAATGGCGTCATTCAGTTCAGACCTCTGCTGTGCGCCGCCATTCGCATCCTGAAACCTGCACAGTCACGCAGTCGGCGCTTCAAAGAATGTCGCTACTTGTAGAGAAGCTCTTATCTAGATACTTTAGGTCTACCCACAATCCATCCAATCGGAGCCAATCAGGGCACGGCGTTCTGACGTCACCACAACCCTTGCAAAAAGAAGCAGACGAACATGTGCTCCTTCTGCAGCGTATATTTTTCACTGCATAATTTATCTCGCGGCCAAAAGTAGAAGTGACCGCCAGCACGGCATGATGACGTCACTCGCAAGCCATGCATGTCCACTGACAGGATGAAAACGGCAATGCGTCTCCTTTAGATGGCCGGCTTACAGCACGCGCCCGGGGCCTTCCACCGTGCTTTGGCATGGGCGAAACACACTCGAAGCTGCACGAAACGCCGAAGCGTTCCGGAAGTATACGAAACTCTGTCGTTCTAGTCCTGTCGGCGACTAGAGCACATTTACCCGACCCATGTAAACTTCGACTTGCTATGTGCATCAGATTCGATTCGATCCGCCATAAAGTTATACGCCTCGCAATTGGGCTCAATTTCGTCTTCTGCGCATGAGAAAGGAAGTAGCGGTGACGTCAGAACGCCGAGCCCTGATTGGCTGATCGCGACCCCCTATCTGAGCGTCGTCTGCTCCTTTGCAACGTCGTCTGCTCGCAACGTCGTCTGCGTCGGTATGCACGAACATAGAGAATAAAGCAATACTTTTACTGGAAATCGAAATATATTAACTTGGCCTTCACTTTATTTTGATCGTCTTCATGCACAGGGAGGACTGATCCAGTGTGTCATGCGTAGTTCTTGGTTTTCCGCATGTCCTTCGTTCGCTGGGTACGTAAATCCCCCATGTAGAAAAGCACCGACGCCGTGCTCGAGCTATTACAAAATAATATAATACATATATAATACATAAGATAATACAATGTATTATACAAATTATATTATGAAGCTGTTTTAGCAGTGTTTAAACTTTAATTTCATTTCATTTATTATTCCCTCAGGGTCCGAAGGCATGAAATTACATGAATTTGACAGAAAAAAAAACTAAGTGACCAATATCTTTATTTACGTGATTGAGAAATGTTTTAAGCTATTTACTACGTTATAATTATTCGTAATATATATATTTTTTTTAATAATCAAGCGCAGAGAAAAAAATGCATTCACTTTTTCCCATAGAAGTGCATTACCGGAAGTCAATTTTCGACTGGTTGCTGTCTGCTTCGATTTGCAAAGGCACACTCTAGCGCCAGCTGAAGCTGGACCATTTGGGCACCGTTCAAAAGCGCACCGTCACGATGTTCGTCATGCGCCAATCACAAACAGAAAAGGTCCAATGACTTGCACTTTTGACTCTTCTTGGTTGGTCCCATTACGTCGTAGCGTCGGCTGCGTTTAAAGCTGTGGGATTAGAGCTCGAGATGTTTAAGCCGAATCCTGGTCAAGGTTGAGCAATGTTGGGTAAAGTGCATTTAGAAGGTACTTGAAATAAAGACCAAAGCAAATGAGAGGTTATGTACTTCAATGGTACACTAACGTCATGTCATCCATTTCGCACTACCACGGAAGGAGGATAGCTGATTTTCTACGAATTTTTGAGTGACGGGTTAATCTTCTAAAATCTTTTACAAAAGTGAGTCCCGGTGAGAAGGGAGTTCCTCCTTCCCCTCTTCTCTGGTGGTGACAGGAAAGCTGACGGGATTAGTTCAAGTGAAAAAACATGTACTTATACAGTGCGTTTTTTTTTTATTACTATTATTTGTATGCATTGCCTTGATAGTCGAGGTACATCAGTTTTTTTTTCGGAAATGGCGGCGAATACAGGGTGAAGTCAAGAGTATAGACCTTTTCCACAAGGGCGCCGCCATCTTGAATTGTCGTCCCTTCAGTATGGGCGAAAACATTACTTTGCCGTCACCACGCCAATAGAAGACATTCAGGATATAAGCCTAACCGTCACACATTCTCGTTTTGGCTCCCCTCTATTTTTTTACTGGTTACAGGTTGAAACGTGTTACTATTTTGTCGTCGCCCATACTGGAAGTGACGACAATTTCGGAAATGGCACCAAATTCAGAAGTTTTTCCGACCTCTGAATTTGACGCCGGAGAGCGCATGACGTCAGCCCCGTAGCTTAAAGGGGCACTGACACCCCAAAGGTCGTATTTATTTTTATTGTCTAAAACGATGCAAGTTGTAGTCATAGACACGCAAAAAAAAACCGCATCGCGAAAAAAAAATTTCCCGCGCGCGCGCGCGCCTTTTTATTTTTGGCGTTTGATTTTCCCGCCTCTCGCCTCCTCGCTTCTTTTGATCGGTGACGTCAAAAATCAGGAAATTTAGAAGCTTTGTAGGCGACATCTCTATAACATTTAATTACGGCAATCTTAAAACATGTGTTTTAACGCAATTGCGAACGCACTACGGCCCTTCTTTTTGAAATACCAAAAATCGGGAGTTCGTTGTGGTGCCGCCTCCTGGATTTGTATCCTCCAACGGAAAACAGGCGACACCGCTCAAAACCGGTCCGCCGCAACGCCGGCGCTAGCCGGCGCTCGCTCCTATCCTCCTCGCTTTGGGTCGCCATGGCAACAGCAGGGAGTGGTGACAGGAAAGTGGACTCTCAGGTCTCCTCAATTTTTGACGTCAAGGCACCGGCACCGATCGCGCGGGAACTTCGAATTCGGCATTTGGAAATTGTTTTTTTACTTCACGAATACTGAATTCCCAAATCTCAAATTTTGAGGGTAATGTCCCGGCATCGTTTTCAATCGTTTCGGATAATAAAAAAAAAAATATGATTTTGATGTGTCAGTGCCCCTTTAAGCAAGCAACCCTCGCGTGGAGGAGTGTCTTCTCATATTTTCTATCCTCCTCACTTGCAAGAGTTAGAAATGCTGCGAAGATGCAGCCCACAGTACAAAAGGAGCGATGCGTCGTCTGCTCGCGTTTCTGGTGAGAGCGGTATATCCCAATATTTCTTCAGAGCTGACAGAATATCATTTTGCGATACAAATTTAACAATACGATATTTGAGGAGTGGACTTTCCTTAGAAAATGCAAGAAAAAAGTACTAACAGATGCGCCAGATAATGTACTTCAAGAAAGTAAAACTTTTATAAAACTACTTGAAGTAGTATTTGAAGTGAAATGTACTTTAAACTACGCCCCAACAGTGAGGTTAAGTTGCAATCATTGGCACGAAGCACCCGGTCAAAGCGGATCCATGAAAACTCAGTGGTTGAATTAAATTTTCGGAGTCCTACAGCCCTACACGGTCGCGTTTATGTAAACGCCTACGTCACTTATTTTAAGCAAGCCGGCCGATCCTGCATGGTGTAAATTCACGATGCAAAACACCAAGGGCCAAAGTAAAGAGCGATATAGAGAGAGACGATTAGATTGACGGTCAACACTTTGATCGCTATACGTCAAACCTCTGACATCAGGGGCTTTCATAATCAGCCAGGAACGGCAGCTGGAATGTCTTACACACTTTTAATACTAGTCACACAAGGCCAATAAAATAAAGCATCTAATTGTATGCAGTGCATGCTCCGAAGGAGCACGCAAGCGCGATGATCTTGGCGATGTAGAGATCATCCGAGCCAGTTCTTACTTCGACTTTCCTTCTCACTTCGGCATTTAACCCACTCGCATTCAGTCCGTCCGCCCCTTCCCCTCCCTCCCTCCCCCCCCCCCCCCCCCCCCCCCTTAAATGGATTGAGCTCGAGGACGCTTAGCTCCGGGAAAGCTTCATCAAAGACCGACCCCCCCCCCCCCCCCCCCCACCGCACCGCACCCTCCCCACATACACACTCCGACGTGCTTCGAACCCAAAGTTCGACTAAAAGTCCCTGGCACGTTCGTTTTGCTCTTGAAGAATACAGCTATGAGAAATAAAACCAATTTATTTTGGCCTGCTGATGGAGTCTCTTGGTATGTGGAAAAAAGAAAAGCCAACAAAACGCCAAAGAGCACTTTTGACAGACTCCCGTTTGGCAAGTTTGACAGACGAATAGTCTATAGGGTATTTAACGAGGGTTGTAAAAAATCTATTACACAACTGTCCAAGCAGTAAAGTACATTTTTATTTCTTATGCACATATTGTTCAAAGCATAGGCCTACCCGCTTCCCAATCCTGCGTCTGGACCAGAACCTTGACCCCTTCCATGTCTTTAGCCTCCGCCTTGATTGTTACCGTGACTAGATCTCCATCCTCCGCCTTGTCCGGTTCCAGACCCCCATCCTCCGCCTTGTCCACCTCCTTGTCCGGTGCCAGATCCCCATCCTCCACCCTGTCCGGAACCTTGTCCGCTGCCAGACCCTTGGCCCCATCCTTGTCCGCTTCCGGATCCCCATCCTCCGCCTTGTCCGGAACCAGAACCCTGTCCACCTCCCTGTCCGCCTCCGGATCCCCATCCTCCACCTTGTCCGGAACCAGAACCCTGTCCACCTCCTTGTCCGCCTCCCCATCCTCCGCCTTGTCCGGAACCAGAACCCTGTCCACCTCCTTGTCCGCCTCCGGATCCCCATCCTCCGCCTTGTCCGGAACCAGAACCCTGTCCAGTGCCCCATCCTCCGCCTTGACCGGAACCAGAACCTGGTCCGCCTCCTTGTCCGCCTCCGTTTCCCCATCCTCCGCCTTGACCGGAACCAGAACCTGGTCCACCTCCTTGTCCGCCTCCGGATCCCCATCCTCCGCCTTGTCCGGAACCAGAACTCTGCCCAGTGCCCCAGCCTCCTTGACCGGAACCGTGGCCGCTGCCTTGCCCACACTGAGGGTATTTGCATCCTCCTCCTTGACCTGGTCGACCCTGCCCGTTCACAAATCCCCAGCCTCCGCCTTGTCCACTTCCAGAACCCCATCCTCCGCCTTGTCCGGAACCTTTTCCGCCTCCTTGTCCGCTCTCAGATCCCCAGCCTCCGCCTTGTCCGGAGCCAGACCCTTGTCCACCTCCTTGTCCACTTCCAGAACCCCATCCTCCGCCTTGTCCGGAACCTTTTCCACCTCCTTGTCCGCTCCCAGATCCCCAGCCTCCGCCCTGTCCGGAACCAGACCCTTGTCCACTTCCAGATCCCCAGCCTCCGCCTTGTCCGGAACCAGACCCTTGTCCACCTCCTTGTCCACTTCCAGAACCCAATCCTCCGCCTTGTCCGGAACCTTTTCCACCTCCTTGTCCGCTCCCAGATCCCCAGCCTCCGCCCTGTCCGGAACCAGACCCTTGTCCACTTCCAGAACCCCATCCTCCGCCTTGTCCGGAACCTTTTCCACCTTGTCCGCTCCCAGATCCCCAGCCTCCGCCTTGTCCGGAACCAGACCCTTGTCCACCTCCTTGTCCGGAACCAGACCCTTGTCCACCTCCTTGTCCGGAACCAGACCCTTGTCCACTTCCAGAACCCCATCCTACACCATGTCCAGAACCCTTTCCGCCTCCTTGTCCGCTCCCGTATCCCCAACCTCCGCCTTGTCCGGAACCCTGGCTGTTGCCCCACCGCTGTACGACCGAATGGTCTTTGGCCTTTCCCCATCCGTTATTGCTACCTCCCCATCCCCAGCCCGAACCGCCACTGCCGTTCTGGCTGCTCCAACTGCTCCAGCCTGCACCGCCTTCGCCGGTGCCGTTTGCTTGCCAGGAGCTCTGTCCGGTGCCGAACGGCGGGCTCATCGTCACGAGAGTAGCGTTTCTTGCTGGCGTCATGGTGAAGTTCAAAGCCGCGGAGTCAGTGGTCGGCCATGTCGCAGACAGGCCAATGAACAGGCCGACAAGAACGGCGCTGTACATGTCCTGAAACGTGTGACAAATGCGTTAACGAACTTCGAGCGCATGTATACGATGTCATCATCGCCAAATCTATAATCTAATCGCGCAAGTCACTCAATGTTCGTAAAAACCGCAGTCACACCCAGGGCCGGCCTTACACCCACTTGTAGAACAACTCCCCAGTTGTAGAACATATGGCGAGCAAATGCCATCCAAGGTGCTTCCGACCCTACCTAATTACCTTAATACTCACAGTATTCATCCTTCAGCATCAACAGTAAAATATATAAGAATTCTTTTTCTTGTAGAGTGAATTGCATAGAAATGAATATTTCACTCAATGTCCTCATTTATAAGTTAGCTATATCTGTTGAGAATGAATTTAGTGAATGAGTATAGTATACATGCATAGTCGTGCTATATATCTCGAATCATGAACGCTTGAATGTGCACTTATGTTTTTAGTAAACCGTCAGTTTAGCAGAGCTAATTTATCTGTTACATTGGAATGTTCTACATTGAATTACTGACCTGAGTTTTTTGTTTTTTTTTTTTTGTTCGTTTGTTTACAAAGTGATACGCATTCCTTCTGTGACCTGCCGCTGTGGCTCAGGACTCCTCAAGCTGCACAAATGCAGCTTTTTTTTTTTCAGTCCCTTTCCACCATGTACTTTTACTTGATGGGGAAATAAACATTAGTACCATCAAGCGTCCTGGGCAAACTCCGGCACGGGATAGATGCCTTCCGTCGTGCCCTGGCGGCAGGTGCACGCTCAAGGCTCATGACACGTCGGTGTTTTTTTGTTTTTTTTTCGAAATGGAAGTGTAACACGCGAAAAAATCTCGGACTAACACGGTTTATTAACCATTCACAAAAACGTCTAAAAACATCAATACAGTGAAAGATGAATCGCTTACGCATTGTGCTCCCCTTTTCCTGGTAAAGTATGCTTCCATTAACTCGCGCGTTTTCTGGCTCCTTCGCTTACCCAGAATCGTTGTCTCAGAAAGGCGCGGCTCACGCAGATTTTCTGCAGTGTTCAGGCAAAACTGCCCCATCATTCGTCTTAAATTTTGCGCGCGCTCCCTTATTCGGTCATTCGCACACTGTCCCGTTTGTCCTACGTAGGACTTTCCACACATAAAGGGGATTTCGTATACCACCCCCGTGACGAGTTGGCCGAGTGTTCTCGAACCTGACAAAACGAGCGGTTCTCCAAAGTGGTTCGCCAACTTCCTGAGAAAACGATTCTGGGTAAAGGAAAGAGCCAGAAAGTGCTCCAGTTAATGGAAGCATACTTTATCAGGAAAGGGGGCGCACAGTGCATCGTGAGTAATGCGGAGAGCATCTCGCGCAGGAGTTGCGGTGACGTCTCAATGGTGCCGAGCTCCGACTGGCTCCGATTGAAGGATAGTGGGTAGACGTCAAAACAAGCTGCCTCGAGGTCTACCCACTATTCTTCAATCAGAACCAATCAAAGTTCGCCGTTCTGACGTCACCACAATTAACCCCTGCAAACGAAGCAGACGAACGATCCACATAAGGTAATTATGTTCAGTCTCTGGATGGACATAATCTTTGTAGAATATGGTTATTAACATATCGGAAATAATTGTAACGAGAAAACACAGCGTAACAAGAAAACAGAGGAGGGTTAGCTAGACATTCAAAGTCGTACTTACGGAAGCGACGAAGGAATCCAGGCTCAATAGTCGTGGGAAAATCGCACGTTGTGCGAGGTCAGACGCTCACCTGCAACTGAAGCGCGAAGCAACCGAGCCACGCATCAACCAAACTACGTTTTATAATCATCTAATGACGTCACAAATCGTCTCTCATCCTCCGTTAAAAAAAAAAAAAAGGGAGGGGGGGGGGGGGTTAAAAGAAGCTTGGGCATGTTTTGGTTGTTACGTGTGTCGCACAGGTTGATAAAGATGACTTCAAGTAACAGCTGATATAGCTCTATGAACTCGTGCGTCATTGTGCACAGTCTAAGTTGACGAAACCTATCATCTTCGCGGTAGGAGTAGTCCTGAATATTATCATCGTGAGTCAGTTTTGTCTCTGGTTGTTTGATGTAAAGTTCCTAGATAAGAGATTCCTACAAGTAGCGACATTCTTTGAAGCGCCGACTGCGTGACGGTGCAGGTTTTAGAATGGAGGATAGAAGGGTAGGAGAGGGCATGACGTCAGCCGCGTAGCCTCCACAAGCCACGCTCCCTTGACGCCTCGCCTCTTTCTCGCTTTCCTCCTTACCCTCCGCACTTATCAGGCCAACGTGACCACATCACGTGACCGTAGCTAGCCTTCGTCTAGCCTTCGATCTTATAAAACCTAGCGGACGGAGCACGCGCAAGCCTGCAAGGATCCTTCTACAATCAAGCATCCATCTCACACGTGACATGTCCCGCGCACCAATTGCCAGAGAGATCTACGGTCACGTTGGCCACAACATCGTTTAAACTTTTTTATGACTAGGCTTCACCAATATTGCAACTTGCCCCCTCCTAGTACTTATAAGTTATAACCTCCTTGGGTTTTAGGAAGCGAATGGCGGCGCACAGCAGAGGTTTGAACTGAATGCCGCCATTTTGTTCTAGCGGAATGTCCTTTGTCGATATTTCTGAAAAGAAGTACCAAGAGACTTTAGCTTAATAACATATTCCACTCTTCTTCTTCTTCTTTTTTTTTTTTTTTTTTTGCGATTTGTTTTACATGGTGCGATTTTGCTTTCTGTTTTGCAGTCTTCTGAGTCGGAAAGACTGAAAAGATCACGCATTTCATCTGAGTCCATGGGATCTCTTTTTTCTTCTTCTTTTTGCCGCAGGGCCGACGTTTCAACTGATACCAAGAAAATCAAACAGAATCACAACATGTGTGATACAGGCATAATTTTTAAGGGAGTGGTGCAACGATATTCAGTCTTTTTCACTTTACACGTGCTTACTGGCACTAGTGGGACTCAAGGATACTCGCACGCAACGCCATTGGCCAAGGAACTCCTTTGTTGCGGTGTAATTTCAAGGACAAAAGCGATGAATTTTATTCGATCTCTTCTTTGCAAAATTTGATGAGGATCGTAGTACACCCCAACCCAATGACGATATTTGAATGCGGTTCATAGATTGGACCCGAGCATTGCGTGGGGCACTCGATTTGGGCTCGTGATAATTACTAGCTCGAGAAGCATTCGGGTAGTGGCCCGTGTCCAATCGCTGGAACGACGACAATAGCCGAGCCATAACAATGTCTGGAACTCAGCGCGTGTCCTGTGCTTTGCCAACCCCAGCGCGTGGCTATGATCAACATTGGCGGCATATGTACATATGCCGCCAATTTATTAGCCCCGTGCGCGACCGAAAGCGTCGCTGTGGTCGGCCTTCCACGATTGGCCGAACGCTGACTATGACGTAGGAAAGGGGATTTATCATCGACGTAAATAAGAGGAATGAAAGAACTTTAATTTTGACGGTGTTGGCAGTGTTGCTTTAAGAGCTCAATGATTTCAAGCTTCCACCATGCTATTTACAAACACCATCGAAATTGTTGTTTGTAAGGTAATGACGTCACAAGGGGGAACCATAGGAGGGCGCCACCAAAACATCTCGCCGCTAATAGGCTTCTCATTCGAGAAGGCTATGAACACACGCGTATTGCAAGTGCTGTTGAAAAACAAACGATGTTGATTGTAAGTACTAAGTACCCAATTATAATCGGCTCCAGATCACGTGGCCGCTTGTTCTGGCTGCGAGTTGAGGGGGTGAACGCTGCTCGTTTTTCTTTAATTTTTTTCTGGGACTTCTATTCGTGGCGTGAAAAACGAACGCGTGTTTCATAGGTCATTAACGTCAGCGATCCGTTCTAAGCGGTATTAGCGCAAAGTACAAAAATTGTTGCATCGCCCCTTTACAGTTGATTGCCAAGTTTAAAATAGGCGCGCTTTTTTCCCTTTATTTCCCATCAAGTCATTTTCAATATAACAAAAAACACAAATATTGAAAACATTTTTGCGACTAATTTATAGTTTAACTCACTTTTATAAAAATTAAAGTTAACGATAATCGTATTCACGTTAAAACAGTTAGAGGACAGACTGATACGAAACTAACCGTGCGAATCAGGAGTCTTGTGGTAAACAAACATGGCTGCCCACCACAAGCAAACGAGCGGTCATGGAACTCGGAAAAAAGTTCAAGTACGTTCACACCTTTTTCTACTTTTTTATTTTGAGTAATCATGCGATATCACGCGTATCTACGTCGAACGATACTCTTCTCACCGGTGCCGATCGGCGTTATCGCCCCAACGAGCGCTTGGCGCCGCATGTCTATCCATCGGCTCGTCGTTCCTAATTGCCGCAAACAATTCCCAACCTCTGATCGTTATATTTAGGGCCGATCCTAACGTCTAGACGCTGTAATCTTTCCATCCTTTTAGCGTAAATGTAGTTTGACCGGGAACACCGCGTTTGTGCACCTCGAGGTACGAATGCGAGCAGCAGCTCTTCGCCGTTCTAAACACGCATCGGTGCCGTTTTGATTTACAGAGCGTTCGAGAATCGTGCGCTGCAAAATGCTTCAATCAACTCTCGCAGCACACGATTGTTCATGTCGTTCCGGTGCTCGGCGCAAATCACGCGCCTGTAGCTGGCTCTCATTCGCGTACCCGGCGGATTAAGATTGCGGGCAGTCTCCGGTGCGTTTGTTTGGATTACCTCGAAGATAAACGTTTTCTGTCTCCGGCAGCATCGGCGCGATATAAAAGTAAACATAAAACTAATCGCTCCCCTACAGGCAGCAAGAGCCAAGAGATCGCCGCACGATTATGAAGGCACAGGGTCTACGTTGAACAATCACTTCGGTTGAGGTTGCTCATACGTAAAAAAACACGAATTGGACGGTGTTGTTATTTTTATTTTTTTGCGTGTAATAATTGGTTGATTTGCTAGAGTAAGCAGCACTGAGTGATGGAGATTTGTAGTTTTTAACACTCATATTCAGCGTATAAGAAGAAACTTAGTGCGTTTTCCTCATCTGGCAGTGTTATCGTTGACACACCTTTCTGAATACCCGCGACGGTTAGAGCATTAGTAACATGCAAGCTTATAAATTGGATATCGGATGTTGAGATGAACATGTTCACCTCATTCGAGAAGCCTACGAACACAAGCTCATTGTAAGCGCTGCTGAAAAACAAACAATGTTGATTATAAGTACTAAGTCCATACACGCACACATAAAATAAGACTACATTACAAGATTCCTAGTTCATGCTCGGGCAGCTTAACGTTTCCTGTGTACCCTGTGTATTATGCGATTGGTTCATTCACTACTCTGAAGGCAGACTAAGAGGCATGGAAATAGCACTCATATCATTGGAAACGAGGAACTCAAACGAGCGGCGCTACTATTTCGGAAGTTTTCCGGAACTGACATCACAAATGTGAAAGTTACACGCCTCCTTGTTTTATCGAGGAACATGGAGATTAGTCACTGCTAAGGACGAACTCCGTGTACAGTGTCGCAATTTGTTTTGTTCTGAATTATGAGAGTCCCTTTTTAAACTTGCTGAAGTTGTCCATCGATCCTAAAGAAGTTATTTACTGAGCAGAGCATGGAGCAATATTGCCAATATGAACATGAGCCTCCTTTCGTTGGCTTTCTTAAATGACTTTCAAAACAGTCAATTCATCTTTTTATAAATTCATCCCTTAGATATACGAGCGCCTCCACTTCTCTGATTGCCTCTCCTCTGTTCAGCCGACACCATGCATAAGCAAAATTCTCATCTATAGTTGTCTAACAAAACTGGAGATGCCCAATTTCGCTCATTATCAATCTGTATTAATTAAAGCCGCTATTTTACAGTATAGCTAAATGACAACACACTGCTATTGAGAAGGAGATCCAACCGTCTCGCCCCTAGTAGCAAAATTGAGAACTGCACCGATGGGGAAAACAAAAACATAGATTATTTGTTTGCGTTTTGATGCAGCGCTCAACCCACGTGACTGAATGTTGCATCAGCGTTCGGCTGGGGCTCGTGTTCAATCAGTGAAGCCGGACAAGGACAGGGCAAAAAATTGGCCACGAGTCGCATGCATCTTTTGCCCCACGCTTAGTCGAGAAAGTCTAAGTAAAGAATCCACTGGACGTGCCTCGTGTCGGTAAACACATAACTCTGGGGAAGACAAGCTGGACGTAGCACCCTCTATAGTTCGATCTCCTCGCCAATACCACAGAGTATGTAGCAGTTTAAATAGCAGTTATACTATTACGTCTTCAAAAAGTGCATTAGTGTCTACAATCCTTTTCAACTTACGATAGACCGCGGCAGACGCTTCGAGCCGACAAAGCCAGTCCAATGCCACGCGGGTGTCATGTGACCTTTGGGAGGCATGCAGCGACGCATGGCGAGCGTGGTCTCGCGATACGTTTGCAGCGCCGGATTGACTGGAACGGTTCTTAGCATCCGCTGAAGTACATCGTGAGGTGGAACAGGGTGTAGCCCAGCTGGCCCAAGTCCCCAGTTCTGCGCGCCGACCTTGAGATACATCCTCGGCTCTGCCAGGTGTCCTACGTCATCCGAGAGGAAGTGGAGAAACATCACCGGTCTGGCGTCAACTCGCTTCAGTTCGATCCGTACCTCAACCGTCTTTACTCCGCGGGACGAGACTCCATCATCCGCATCTGGAATGCGCGCAACGCCGAGGTAACGATAGGCCCCGTCCCTTTCGTCTCAAAAAACGGTGTTACGAACCCCCTCTGACGAGCGCCCTTCCTCTTATAGGATCCGTACGTGCAGTCGATGGAACACCACACCGACTGGGTCAATGACATTGTCCTCTGTTGCGGCGGAAAAAACCGTAAGTCTCCTCCGTCCTTGTCTGCAACTACTTTTTAGGGACGGGTTCGTGAGTATGTGGAAGTCTCGAATCCTTGTCTCCGACCCTAGACCAAGAGATTCTTGGCTTGAAGGGTGGGCTAACAAGAGCGACGAGTTCTGCATGCTTCATTTGCCATGTAATGTAGACCGTACGGTCGAGCCTGGTTGGATGGTCGCACAATCTGGTGCGGAGTTTTTGCTACTTTCAGACGTACCATGGTGCATTTGCTCACGTTCCGTCGTTCGGTGTCTACTACCGCTCCAGATCGCCCTTTTTGGTCACCCGCCGCACTAATTATGGGTTGGCCTCGACGTCTCCTGTTTACTTCCCTTGGATAAGTCCTCATCTGACGAACTAAAGCCTTCTCGTAAAGTGTTTACCATATCAGTCATGAATCGTCCAAAAACTAGATGGGGCTGTAATAGTTTTGTTTAGCACTATTTTAATATTCGGGAAGTTTTCTGTGTCAGCGCCTGTGTGTTGCGCTACTCCCTTATGTCCTAAGTCTTCAGTGTTTGTTTGTGACTTTGGAACAACGCCTACGAAACTAACTTTAAAGAAAAGAGAAAAGGTCACCCCTTTGCCGTACTAGCGTGGCAAAGACAGTGGTAGCACGGAATGTGATGTGTTAGTGTGGAGAAACCATGCATGTGGAGACTGGATGGTGCAAAGTGGCCCTGCGTCGTGCAAGGTAAGCGCGTGAGCGCTCTACGGATATCTTACTTGTGGGTGCCATCTTCCGCGGTTGCTGCGTAAATGTGACTTTCTCGGAGCCTCTTGGAGCGTGAGATGCAGTGGGCAGATTGTGCTGAAAACAGAATAATTGGAACGCGGCAGTACCAAGCACAGCCCTGGCACCAGCTCGCGGCAAAAGAAAACCAAACGCCTGGAACTAATTCGACCTGTTGCGGCAAAGGAGTCTGCCTTTCTTTATTTTTTTGCTTTTCTGTCACTCTTTTCTGCACTTTTCTCTGGGAAAGCCCAGAGCGCACTTGTTTCACAAAGGAGAGTGCTGCTGTGTTTCTGAACACATGATGTTTCACCCCCGCCTAGAGTAACACGAAGGCACTCGAGGAAAAGGTTCGGTTGGCGCCGGTGTCCAATTAGTGAGGAGACGAGCGGTGCATTAGCGTTCAGCTGGCAGTCGGACTGTCCACTTCCGTTGCTGGCGCTTAACCGAATATGGTTAGGTGCCAATATTTAGTTTTTTTGTTTTTTTTGTTTTTTTTTTTTGTTTTTTGTAACTGAACAAGTTTTACTTTTGGCTGAAAGGTGTCTTTAGTTTTAGTTTAGGCCCTCTTTCATTTCACCTCATATTTGCCTCTCCGTACATCAACATTTAGAACCTGCTAACGAGCGTTAATTCCTTTTTGACTCGATGCAGTCATATCAGCGTCGAGCGACACCACTGTCAAGGTGTGGAATGCCTACAAGGGATTCTGCATGTCCACTCTCCGGACGCACAAGGTGCTCTTTATGTTCCTAAGTAATTTTCTTGTCAATGTCGATTTGTGACCGTCGTTGTTCCCCTCTGTTTCCAGGACTACGTGAAGGCCTTGGCATATGCCAAAGACCGCGAAAGAGTGGCATCAGCCGGCCTGGACAGAGTTATCTTCCTATGGGACGTCAACACCCTCACCGCTCTCACTGCGTCCAACAACACCGTCACGAGTGAGTGTGCTCTAGCCAGCTCTAGCCAATTACTAGGCTAGAAACTCGGCTCGTACTAGAGCCAAACGGAGTCGGCTCTAGTACAAGTTGACTGCCTGCGTTCTGGGCCACCATATTCCACTGTGTTTTTTTATGTGGTCAACTTGGGGGACCGTGTCACCAGCTGAGTCAGCCAAGTCACAGTGGCTGAAGGCAGTCTAGTATTTTATGGCATCCCTCAGATGAGCGATATTACTCTTTATTCTGGTTCACCGATCCGTTATGTCTGAGCAGTTTGCTCGTCTTTTTGCTACATCACTACACTCCTGAGCCAAAGCAGAGAATATTTATTCAGAATCGCTAGCCAAGGGTGCATCGAGGACGGATCGTTAAATCTATGCATATCCTCGGAGCGTAGTGTTCGGGAGAGCTGCTGCTGACTTCAGGTGAACCTGGTGCCCTCGCAGCATCCTCGCTGACGGACAACAAGGACAGCATCTACAGTCTGGCCATGAACCCCCCTGGTACGGTCATCATCTCCGGCTCGACGGAGAAAGTCATCCGGGTATGGGACCCTCGTACCTGCCAGAAGATGCCCAAGCTCAAGGGGCACACTGACAACGTCAAGGCACTCGTGCTCAACCGAGAGGGAACGCAGGTAAGGCGGCTGTGCGACAACGGCAGGTGTTCCGTAGTTGATGCGTGATGGACAAAGGTACGGGTATGGCCACCGTGAAATAATGGCAGATATTTTGTAATCGTTGCGCGACAAACCAGTAGCATGATTTGTGAGGATTCCTGTTGGCTAGTTGGCTGTCCGTTCTTATTGCGTTACACTTCTTAGGCATTACGACAAATGGTGATGCTGCGGCATTGTCACTCGTGTACTTCGAATTCTGCTAAAACTTGAACTGTGGAGTGCATGGATTAACAATGTTTTGCAATCTGGCAGTGCCACAAGGGGTCCAGCATCAAACTTAGTTTACTTTAGGATCGGTAGGGTTTCTTTTGCATCCACTTTGGTAAGCTGCAGTGGGCAAAGCACGGTTACGTTTTAGTTAGCGGATCGCGGCGGTGTTGCTTCGAACTTTAAAATTCATGCAAGTAAAGTTAGAATCCGCTAAAAAAAATCGCCGTTACTAGGAGATATTTCTGCAGCGTACTACGGTCGTATATAATTTGTTTGATAGGCTACGAGCACCACATAGTGCACTTGACAGGCACGTAGCCAGGGGGGTGCCCATGGGGCCCGCCCCCCCCCCCCCCCCGAAAACTTCCATTTTGCTGGGACCTCCTCTCCCCCCTCCCCCTGATACGGCATTTTGTATTGGGCACCCCCCCCCCCTTCCCCCCCCCTCCCCTCTGAAACAAAATCCTGGCTACGTGCCTGGCACTTAACATCTTTTTAAACTACGATCTGAAACGACGAGGGAGTGCGCATTACGTGAGTGCGTGCACCGTACTCCGGCACGTGTTACGCGACTACGCTTGTGAAATCAGAATCACCGAGATGGGAACATGTCCTTTCCTCCGACAGTGCTTGTCAGGGAGCTCGGACGGCACGATACGGCTCTGGTCGTTGGGACAGCAGCGCTGTGTGGCCACCATCAGAGTGCACGACGAAGGTGTCTGGGCACTTCAGGTGAGTCGCCTGATCCGGGACATTGAAGCAACTGTCAACTCATATGGTACTATACTCACTGACAGGATTAGAATGGCAGGACGTCTCTTTCAAACGCTCGGCCCCCAGCACGCTCTCGTTTCCCCCCGCCATGCTCTGGCTGCGCATGCGGCGCTAGAGGCTCACAAGAAGTGGACGCATTATCCTAGTTGTGAGGCTTGTGCTGGGGGTGGGAGGACCGAAGGACGACCCTGCCTTTCTCGTACCACGAATAACTGTTGTGAATGGTCCTTCGATCGCGAGAAGGCTCCACAAGAAAAGAGGTCGTCCCGGGAAGTTTTAGGCCAAGTTTTCTTCTGGGAAACAATGTTCAGGAACGAAACTTGTAAGGCTAACGTTTGTGGTACTATTCTTTCCTTTATTTCATAGACGTCGGGTTATTAAGAAGGCTACCCTAGTGATGCGCGCAGCGATTTCATTGGCCTTCTGTCGGCTTGTTCGTCGATCTGTGTGTCATGCAACTACATGCACTTCAGAGCATAGATTGTTGCTCCTATTTGACGGTGTTAAACACACCCTATGCACTGGGTCTTTGTTTCGTTTTGTTTTTTGTGTGCGTTTTATAAGTGAAGTTACATGAAGCTTCATTCACTGCCATACTAGGTTACCACCATCATGGTAGTTGCGAATCAGTGTGACATTTGTTGCGTTGCTAAGAATTTTATAGATTATGATCTGAAAAAAACTTGATAGAGATGCAGTTCTAGTATGCAAAGTATTAAGCACATCTGATGGTGCAAACAGGCTAAATTTTGTTTATCTTACAACACAGATTGGGTGGGTGGAGGGGTGGGGGCATGCTGCTTTTTTTTAAACTTAAATGCGAGAGCTCTCTTTCTTTAGTTTGCTATCTTGCTTCCAGTCCCTCAAGTGCAAAGAAAAGTTGGCTAATTTATGTGCAAAAACACACAAGTGAAAACCAGTTGCTCCCCTGATGCGTGTTTCTCATTTTCAGGTGAATGAGAACTTCACAACGGTTTTCTCGGGTGGACGGGACCGCAAAGTGTTCATGACGGACCTGAGGAATCCTGACAACCGTGCCTTGGTCTGTGAGGAGACGGCCCCGGTCCTGAAGGTGATTAATTCACTTTTAGTGACTGGGAAAGTGATTAAAGCATGCAAATAGTAGCCATGCATCACTTAATTTTCTCGATTTGATGAGGCTTGACTGTATATGACTGACATTTTGCTCAGCTTGAATGTAATAGGAGTAGCACATTAGCACATACTGCATTTGGTGCTGTTCATAACTTTATCACATTTCTGCACCTAAATATATGTGTATTTTGAATTGTATAGTTGGAGCCACATTGTGCATCTCATAGTGGCCCTAATTTAGTAAAATTGAGTGTGGTAACAAAAACTGGAAACATTCCAATGCAGCTTGATAACTATTGTACAACTCCATGCTTATATAATATAGTGTACTTCTGAATTGCATTTTGTATATGGACTTTAATGTTGATATTGTCACAAAGGACAGATGATGAGGCAACAACTGAACAAAAGCTAAACATTTAGTTTGGCAAACTTGTGCCGAAAACAAAAATACAAAGAGGTAGCGTTGCAGGCGTTTAAGGTCGGCGGAGCAGCACGGTTGAGCGCTGGAGCGAGGCTGACTTGTACGGTGCATTGCAGCTTCTTTTAAGCCTCCCCTGGGGGCCTAGAATATTCTGCCTCGATCCTTCTCAAACTATACATTCTGAACATGAATAGGCTAGATGGTTCTCCAGCCTTCTCGAATCTTCTAATTTCATAAAAAAAAGATAAAACGACACGCAGTGCCGGGAATCAAACCCAAGCCACTTGCGTGTCAGCCAAATGCGCTGCCAACTCGGCTATGTAAGCACGCTGCATTCGTGACAACATTCTTGACAAAATGAACTAGGCACAACTGGTATCTAATCCACATGAACTATTTAATTCTGATATGCAGGATATCTAGTACAATGTAATAATAGTGCAAACAATTCATCCAACATTTTGGTGTCAACCTTTTTGCCATCGACCCATCGAACTCATATTTAGCATTTATGGGCACTTCCTCGCCAATAGAAAAAACTGAAAGCTGTTGTTATGCGGTAGCGAGCTTTGCCTCGTCGTAATGTCCGGGCCAACGAAATGGGTCAGAGGTCTCGAATGAGCACCAATGTTTTTTGCAGATGATGCTTTGCCACGACACATCTTCACTCTGGGTCGCCACCACAGATTCTTCAATCAAAAGCTGGGTGAGAGTTTCCGAGGCTTTGCTGAAATCGTTTCATAGCTCAAAATGTACTCGAACCCACTCTAGGTGCACAACTATGATCGGTGCCTTTTGAAACTCTCAATCACCGGCATCGTTGTCATTGACAGTTTCCTCACCGATTCGTTTTCAGCCCGTGAATAACAGGTGTTCCCAGTTGGACGACTACGACGTCGAGACGCTGGTGCCGCTCAGCCAGAAGCCACAGTCATGCATCAAAGGTTTGTATTTTTTACGGTTGCGTGATTTCGACCATCTTGCGCTGTGCGCCGTTTCTCTGCATGTTTAAGTTTGTGACCGTCGTCATTAAGGCTAGTTCACACTTTTGCGTCCAACCGTGACCGAGCGCATTGTGGCCGCTTACTATGCTTTGATAACTGCAAAATTTGAGTCCGATTTATTGCGTGGAAACTGTGTTATATACGCGATGTTACATTGCTTTATGATTGTAATTATAATTTATTTTCAATTATATTTTATATTGTATTTATGGCAGAAAAGAGCCACCAGGGTAAGATGCAGCCAACAGAAACTGTGCACATCATTCAAGTTACCTTCTGCCTTGCATGGCTGTCAGAGGACCTTAAAACATGCAATGAAGTCGATTTCGGTTTGAGATGAAGGAAGCAGGTCGCTATTTTCCCTAAACAAAGTTCCGAAGCGATTCAATAAATTGGTGTCGCTAGAATGGCATCGCTAATCCACTGTTCGCTCAAATGAACACCGCCATTCGCTAAAGTGTTGCTCAATGAAACATCTTTTGTGAGACTTCGTTCGCTAAAACGTGTTTCGATTAAGTCAGTGCCTCCCAGGTCGTACCCAATTCAACTTTAATCACGGCACATGGTAGCATGCTAATACTTCAAGATTTATAGTTACTACCATTTTGACGAAGTGAAGAGAACAGTACCTGCAACATAGTAACTTCACTTAGTTACAAGTTATTGGAAAATGTACCTAAGATACAGACACAGATACCGAAAAATGAAAGTACCTAGGTTTCACCTCAGGTACAACAAAAGTACCTAGATAACGATTTCCACTTACTTGTACCTCGGTACTTTACAACCCTAGTCACGGGGCATACAGACGAATTCAGTTTCCCCGCTAAATTTGGAGGGGAAATTGACGTCACGTGAACTATACACCAGTCTAGTTTTCTTGCTATTGGTGTCACTTGACATGATGTGACATGACCTGTACTATTCGAGACTGTATATACAGTGCAGTCCACTTATAACAGTATATTACTTATAATGATCAGTCTTTAGAGTTTTTAGTCCAGATACGATAAACGATTGAATTTTTGGGTTTTCTCATTATTGTTATAAGTGGATTGCACTGTAGTAGTAGTCTTCTAAACAAATTAAAATCATTACTTAAACACTGCATTTCATGCATCATAGAGCTTTAAAAATAAACATCGCTTCCATTTCTTTTTTCTTTTTTTTGCCTTTGTGGCATTGAAGTTTTGAGGTTTTTTTTGGATTGACCGAATTGACCAAAACTTTACTGGCTAATATTTTCTGGATTTTATTGGATTTATCTGAAAACAGAATCCTAGTTACAGGCAACCATTTTTCATAAGAAGTGCTTAGATTTTGTCTTGCAAACAGTCCAAAGCCTTCATTCTAGTTATAGACATTTCAAAAGTGTTCCAGCACTACCCGATAAATGCTGCTAGTGTGCCTCTGTGTTCTCTTGTTCAAAGTGGGCACACAAACACAAATGTGCGAATCGGCCGTTAGTCTTCTAATCCTTAACAGTTTCGATTAGGTGCACAAAGGCATCATTTGAGTTACATATGTCGTGACGTGCGTAATTTTTTCACAGGAAATCCGAGCATACGGCACTACACGGTACTCAATGACAAGCGTCATGTTCTCACCAAAGACACCGCATGCAGTGTGGCTGTTTGGGACGTTCTCAATGTGAGTTTTTTCTTTGTAGTATGCTATGGTTGCTCAAAGAGAGTTAGTTCTCAGCGACATTTTAAGAGAAAAAGATATACGGCTTTAAAGAAACGCTGACAGGGTATTTACACTCAGCAAGGTTTTTATTTGTACATGACGTATGAGAGCCCAACTACCCAGAACTCAATTTGCAGCTCGAAATTCGTTTTTTTTCCGCCCGAAAACTGCCGACCGAGAAATGGACGGTTTGAGTCGCGCTCACTCTCCTCTCCGTGGCCACGTGCCACTCCCTATGGTTTAGGCACAACCACCAAATATCATCAAAGTCGTGGGTCATCGAAGCCACACCCTCAATATTAAAAATCGAAAAAAAAAAAGAATATGATACCCATTTGTTGATCGAACAAAAAAACAGTTGCAGAGCCACGTGACTTTCAGCAACTCTCTCCTCCTCTATATTTTTCTTTTTCTCCTCTCCAGTTTCAGTTTCAAACAGTTGCATTTTTTTACTTTATTAAAAATGTATGTGATGCTGTAGCAAAATATTAATTGTGTAATCTTCTGACACCATATAAAATCGCCTGGCAAAAGATGAAAAAAATTTTTAGGGGGTGTCAGTGCCCCTTTAAATATACGGTATAAATATTTTTATAAAGTAATTTTATTGTCAATTAGTACAACTTCTGAACTATCTTCTGTATCCTTTACAATGTGCACGTTGGTGGAAGTCAGCTGTTGGAAGTTTGTGTTTCTTCTTCAGGCGTGTAAAGTGGAAGACCTTGGAGCAGTCGACTTTGAAGCCGAAGCCAAAAAGAGATTCAAGATGGTCTATGTTCCGAACTGGTTTTCCGTCGACCTCAAAACAGGGGTGAGCAGCCTTTTTACTTACTAGTTCATGTCAAGAATCACAACTTCCAAAAAAAATTTTTTTTTTGTGATATTGGCAGTTGCATGCTGGTGGGCATTTCCAAGCTGGTGCACATATCATAACAACACTGGGAGATGATTCTATCATGTCGACATGTACATATCGGAATGTTAGTCTTCTGACAGCCTATTCATTCAAAAAAACTCACTGTGCATAGTATAAGGTGACAAAATTTTTGGAAGTACATTCAATTTTATGTTAGCTATGAAAAGACACAAAATAATCTGGCAGCGTTGAATGAACAAGTGTGCTGGACTAGGCAATGTTGATATTGAGAAATAAGAATTTAGGGAAACATATGGACAAAGCATTGGCATCATCATTCATTTTGTGTAATAAGAGCTCGCGTGGAGATCCCGTTTCCCCTATTTTTTCGGGAAATACAGAGCCCAACTTCCGGTTCCGACGGTGAGGTGGAATTTTGAGCGGGTACAGATAATTCCGACTGTTGGGGAAAAATTTCTGAAACTCTGTTTCATGCCAAACGTCTAGACACACGGACACACCTTTTCACGGCGGCTGCCAGTGTGCCGGATACGCAATATGTTCATGAACACAAAAGCCAGGGAAGGCTCTCGGCAGTCTTTTTGGTTTCTCTTTGAAAAAGCTTGAGGACGCATCGCCGACATTTAGTTCTGCCAAATATTTGTGTCGAGTCTTCAATGGCGAATGGGGGAACGCATCAAATGCAGATGCTCTGTGTTCACTTGGATGATCCGGACTGCTTTGCTGCCTGGGTCTCCGCAAAAGAGTCCGGACTCGGTCCTTCCGACGGAGGCCCCGACCCCAAGAGTAAGTCGGCGCGTTCGGGAAACGGCGACGTGAGAAAACAGATCAATCAATTGTGTTTGTCCACATTGTGAAAATGACAGCAAAGAAGAATCAGCAGACAGAAGCATTGTGGAAGAGGGGAATAAATAAATATTGAAAAGAGTAGTGACTAAAATTGAGTGGTCACTAATCCGTGGAGCTCTGATTTGAGTGACATAACCCCCCTTGCACTGCCTTTCCACATGTATCTTTTGGCGTCATTTGGAGGGGTTAGTGTTAGTTTTTTTTGCAGGCAATGCAAACAGACCTTGCTCGTCTTCACTGTGGAGCTTAAACCTTCAATTTGTACGCTATGTAATTCAATTATGAAGTTATTTGAAAGACTTCCAAAATTTGTGTTTCATGGCCTTGTGCTTTCAGCTTGGAGTAGTGTAAAGAGGTTGGAAATATTGTCCAGTGATGCTCCTCTTCTGCTCTAACAATTATCTCATCGTTTCTGCACCGGGTAAAAGCAGCATAAAATATTTTTAATGTGAGAAAGTCTTTGTCTGTGCAAGGTTTTAAAGGGATACTACAACGAAATTTCAATGCTTATTTCTTGGTCTATGCCTGTTCAAGACAGCAGTATCACATCGGACACACCAATTTTATGTCTGAAAAAGACACAAAAAGAAATTTTAAAATGAATTAAATGATTAGCAAAGGGCACCTGGTGGATATTGCTAAAGCCTTGTCTGTAATGCCCATCTAGGAACCTTGACAGGTAGTGATGGTAACCGTCTCGCCTTCGGCTACCACGAAAGAAGAGGGGAAGGAGGAACTCCCCTTTCTTCAAGTCTCTCTTTTATGTGTCCCAGACGTTGCTAGTGTCCCTCTACAAGATTATAGAAGATTAACCCGTCACTCAGAATTCATACAAAAGCAGCTTAGGGGTTAGTTGTGGTGGCTGGAACGGCTAGGGCATCCTGTCGACATCAGCCTCACCACAGCTGTGCTCGTCCTGAGACAATCTATGTCACGATTGCGCCGAATGTCACGTGCTGTCCACTAGCTGCTCTCCGAGCGCTTGCTAAAGTGGGCCGTTTATAACAAAAAATAGAGCCATCAGGCTCAAAATACAAACGTGTGATTGTCATTTACGAATATTGTGGATCATATTCAGCCTATTTCTGAACGCGACGGGTATATTTCAAACTCCGTTGAAGTACCTCTTTAATAGACTGATAATCTGTATAAATAAATGGTTGTGTAGACTTTTTTTCTGCAGAAAAAGTGTATAGAGATGTGGGCATTTGTTTTCCAGTCAACCTGGGAGGCCTGTTGCTTCAAGCATTGCTCGAAAATTGGCCACCAACTTACACCAACGATGAAGAAGGCGAAAATGGTAAGGTTTTTTTTTGTGGTTCCTCAGACTATGAAGCTTTGTTTCCATTTCTGTGCAACTGTCTTTTTAAGAAATGTGCACGTACAGACGCCGGACATGTGAGCTACCACATTGGCGCGTCGAACGGAGTGGATGAAATCTTGCATGGGCTGCTTCGAGCATTGCCATGCTTTGGGAGCCAGGCTATTAGGACCGAGCCATCATGTTAACGAAAGCCCAGATAGAGGGTTTTTATCGGCATTGCGCCGTAAAATGCGGGGATGCAAATAATCTCCCTGTGTCCATCTCCTTGATAATGAAATAGGAAATGGGTTGGCTTTTCATTCTGGTAGCTCGTGCCTGTTTACTGTACACTGTTGATTTTGGGGTAAGCGTGTTCTTTGCAACATTGTACGAATTCAGTTTTTAGCGAGCACTGAAACTGAGCACCAGTCATGTCGGTTCTTTCTGATTTAATTATTTACGTTCCATGTCCTTTGTTTTAGGGACTGGGACACTAGCCATGAATGGGGATCGACAGAAACCCGGCAACATGTATTTTAGCGTTCCAGACCACACACCTGTCACTTTTAGGTGAGCCTCCATCTCTTCATAGTCTGCATTCTCATACTAAAATCTATCTTCATGGAGTTTCAATACCATCATTGATACTTGAGTGAACACTGAATAGCACACTCCGTTTTTAGTTGATTTTGAAAGATATTAACATAGATATGTAAGCCGTGGCAGACCAGAACATTTTTGCGGGAAAGGAATGACATTTGTTAGGCTGTCGTAAGTCGTCTATCAAACTACCAGCTTTTGTACGAAGGTTGACACGTAAGATCAGATTTTTTGCACGAATATTTTCAACCACAGGCCATCTGCCTTGCAATGGCATCCTTTCTCAAAGCCATATAAGTGTAGCAGCAGTTTGGCCAGTGCAAGACAGCTGCTAACCTAGGGTTTTAAGCACACAGCAGGCTATGGCAATTACCCGAAGCGATGCTTTGATTGAGCGCCTTCATTATTTTGCAGTGAAGTTGGCGGCCGAACTCTGCTCAGGCTACTGGTTGGGGACGCCGGTCGGGAAAACGAAGAACTGCTTCTCAATGAAACTGTTCCCACTTGGGTCACAGACGTCGTCATTTCCGTAAGTGTCCATTTGTCTCGTAATCTCGCACCTTCGAAAGACTTTAACTGACTAGGCCAACAAGTTTGCCAACTTCTCCCACAAACATGACAAAAACACCTTGGAGAGAGAGTGGCCATCGGTTTCGTTGACCGACAACGAATACAAATGTTTGTGGTGATACACGACACTGCCAGAGTGTGACCAGGTCATTGTAAAGTCGTTGTGCCTCTCGCGTTTCAAAGAAAGTTGAGGGCCGTGAGGGTGTGAGGGCCATGAGCGTGCGAGGGCCATGAGTGTTTGAGGGGTATGAGGGCCATGAGGGCGGGCGGTGAGTGCCTGAGGGGTAAGAGGGCCATGAGGGCGGTGAGTGTGTGAGGCCTTCTTCAGATGGAGCAACTTTCTCAGCAATTTTGGTGTTGCTGGCAGATTGCTCCCTAGATCGGCACGAATTGCTGAGATCGGGTCGGGCTCGAAACAAGCGAGCAAGTCGGAGCAATTCGAATTTCTTCATGTGCGGGAGATCCTAGACCCTTCGCAACGAAGAACCCTAACCCAAGTTGTAGAAGACGATTCCTCCTCCAGTGCGAACGATTAAGACGGCTCGGACCTGAGCTTTTGAATAAAGTTTTCCTCCTCCTCGAAGACGTTTGAAGCGGCTGCATCCAATCAGGGACGCAATATTTTCACGTGATGCCTCGTGCCGGTGATGATGACAACAAAAGACTTGGTTCTGGTTTAAAATTGATCGTTTTTGAAAATAAACTGTTTCAGAAAGATTCATTAGTATTCTCAACGAGATTTAAATGCATAAAAACATGTTTATGGCATGTAGTTGTGTGTCTCAATAGTGCACGAAAAATAAAATTTAATGATGATGGTGGCAAATTGTAGCAATGGGTTGCTGCGTGTGAACGCGGGCGGCCCGTATTGCTGGTGTTGCGACGTCAAGTTTCTGGGCGAAATTGCCCCATCTGAAGCGGGCCCGAGTGGTGCGAGGGCCATGAGTGCGTGAGGTGCGTGAAGGGTATGAGGGCGGTGAGGGGCGTGAGGGCTATGAGTGCGTGAGGGTGGTGAGTGCGTGAGGGGCGTGAGGGCCATAAGTGAGTGAGGGGCGGTGAGTGGCGTGAGGGCCGTGACTGAGTGAGGGGCGTGAGGGGCATGAGTGTGGTGAGGGGCGTGAGGAGTATGAGTGCGTGAGGGCCATGAGGGTGGTGAAGGGCGTGGGGTCCATGAGTGTGTGAGGGCCGTGAGTGTTTGAGGGCCATGAGTGCTTGAGGGCCGTGAGGTTCAGTGAGGGTGAGTGAAGGGCTGAAGGTGAGTGTAACTGTGAGGATGAGGTTGAGTGAGGGGCTGAAAGTGAGTGTAGCTGTGAGGGTGAGAAGAGTGAGGGGCTTAGGTGAGTGTGGCTGTGAGGGTGAGGGTGACGTAAAATGCCGACTTATGGTCTTTTTATGTTTGGAAGATAATGTAGGAGAAAATAATGAAGGTAACAGTGTTATTGATTACAGTGATGTGATTGCTGCGCCGTTTGCGCCAAACTGCGCCAAGGGGCTAACCCTGCTACAACATCCTGCTACATTTTGCCGAAATATGGGTAATCTGCGCCAAGCCTGTGCCAAAGGACTAATTTCGGTCGCCTTTTAAAACCGAAACTAAACTGAGTACCGTAATGGAGCATGCGGGAGCTAGGTGGCGCAAGCGTTCGCCTGACACAAAGTACCCTGCATCGCTTGTCCATCCAGTCTTGAAAGGTTTTCCCGCCGTGTCTCGTTTCGCGCTCTCATCGTCTTGTAGATCTCGTCTCACGTCATTCTAAAAATAATTGTAACGATAGGTGCAAGCATGTCCGGACGCTTTGGCTCTAGCGTGGCGGGTTCCAGCCATGCCGTCATGTCGTGACACGAAACCGCGTTTTGCGTGGCGGGACTTACTTTGCGAGCTGAAGCACTAGCTCCTGAAAGCAACGGCCATGAGAAAACTAGATTTGGTCCCCGCCTACCAGTCACCATGGTTCAATGACGTTGGGTGTTGCCGTCCCTACGTCGCTGCAGATATGGCGCTTTCTAAACTGAAACTAAGGACCGCCGCAAGGTCATGAACAGTCCTGTTCTTGTTTAAGTCATACGCTACTACAGAAATCTCTCTTTAACTCAAAGACTGCTGTGTCGAAGTATTGATTACCTACGTTTCTCTTGGTGGGCTATCTTTTGAGAGGGACCCCGGTACGTGAAAAGTCTGCCGTGAAAGAAAGTTGGTGAAGAGAAGCGAGCTAAACAAAGAAGGAAAAAATGTCTGCACGCTGAACCCGCACAGCGGGCTTGTTTGTCTCGAGTTCAGTCGTTGCACAAAGCGCCCCAAGAACTTTTTCACCCCAACTCGCAATGTCTTGCGTAGATGTGCTCAGGTTCTTTTGTTCTGTGTGTCTAGCTTCTCGCATGCCGGCCTAGCAAACACACGCCGCTGGACCTTTACAATTTGCATACAATTTCGGGAACTAGTACGGAGCGGGGTGGCGTTGTTCGGTGTCGATCGGACAGTCGTCTCCGCTCGCACGACGAAGCGCGAGCAACTGCAAGCTGCCGAAGTTTCCCCCACGTGCATGTGAACATGATTGCACGACAGAGCCACCAGCCGGGACGCTTGCGATCCATTGTTTTACGTTCGCTTGCTTTTGACGAAAATCTGGCACGTCGGAAACCAGTAAAGCGGTGGCAGGAGGTTTTTCGGAATTGCTCGGCAACGCCTACAGCACTGTAGACTTGTGGCATGCCTCAATGTTTCTTTGGAGGCGTTGAAAGTGGACATTCATTACTAGCCGAAGGCAAAGCGAGGCTTGCAGCAGCCTTTCAGTAAGTTTTGAAGAGCAAAAGGAAAAGCACCCGCTAGTCGTGTTGCACATTTTTCTTGTGTACAGTTTTGCATTGCACTGTAGTAGTTACGTGTTTCATCAGTTGGAGACTGCTTCAGTTTATTATATTATATAACTAGTCAACTTTATGCTTAGGCATTTACTACTCAGATGCTCATTTTTAAATAAATTTAATATGTGCAGTTTGGCTCTTATTTATTTATAGTGGGTACATATATATGTATAATTTCACTGAAGCATTGCAAAATGTCTCGTGTCATTGGCATTTCAGTTAACATGTTGTAAGACTCCCAGGTGGTCCAACTTGACCATAATTTGTTCATTGCAGCAAGCAAAGGGCCCTTCATCTGTCCAGCACTTAAAACAAATATTTTCATTTTTCTAAGAATATCTGCTCCAAAAGCCTGTTTTTGCTGCTCCGAAACACTGTTTTGGCTGCTCCAAAAGCCACATTTACTGCTCCAAAACACTGTTTTGGGCTGCTCCAATGGCCACCTTTGCTGCTCCAAAATGCTGTTTTGGCTGCTCCGAAAGGTGCTCCAAAACGCCTTAGGCCAATCACATCACTGTGATTATGTTTGTAGGTTTTTGAGTATGCAGTACTGTCTTTGCAGAAAAACATGCCACGGTTCAACAAGATTCCATTCTACCTTCTGCCTCACTCATCTTCAGGGGTCAAGCCTTTGCGGAGGTGAGTGCTGGTTGTGTGGTACGCTCGAGCTTGCTGTGGCGCTGAGCTGGCTCTTGCACCTTCCAAGCAAACAATACATAGCAGTGGTATATAACTGGTTTTGAAGATAAGCTAGAAAGAGAGAAGAAAAACAAGGAAAATATTTCGTCGTTAATCAGAGGTGTAAAGTTTTCATAAATTCTGACTGATCACAGAGAAATATTTTTAGAAGAATTGGTGTATTTTATTTTTTACTAATTTATTTTTAGAATTAGCTGTTTGCAAGGCTGCTTTATGTTGAAGCAGCCATCCATATTTATCTAATCTGATTCAAAAGTTTGACAAACGGCAAGCAGACGGATGTGCCACGCTTCTGTGTGGTTAAGAGCATCCACTGTTGTGCGGTGCTTTTCTCAAGGGCCCGTATAATTAGATGGAAATAAATGCTTCAGTTTGTGTCACTCTGATTTTTCTTCAAGTTTTTGCTGTTATGAATTAAGGAACTTGCTCGTAAAGAGTTTTTCGCATGTGAAGCATGGTCTAGCTGTCAACATGGTTTATGTCGGCAAAACTGGCATAGGACGACGTTAACCGCTCTTTCGATAAACAGCGTTTTCATTGTTGCTTCTTGACAACAGAGCTGTATGTGTCTGTTCCTCACTCATTTCGTGTTCCCTTTCTGTTGGTGCCAGAAGTTCAGGCAAGGTAACCTTTACGTTCTGTCTTCAGGGACCGTCTCTCGGCGAGCGACATGCTGCAGGTGCGCAAGGTCATTGAGCACGTCTACGAGAAGATCATGGGAGCCGGTTCGGACGCAAGTTCGCAGACGGCTGGTCAGCAAGGAAGCACGGGAGGACAAGAGAAGGGAGAGCCCAACCCCGGGGCAGAGGACGAGAGGACGTCCATTGCCGAGGAGAAGGTGGAGCTGCTCTGCCAGGACCAGGTCGGTTCAAGGTCAAATGAAGGTTGTGTTGGAGGCCCGAGGGTTGGTTGGGTGGCGTCACGGTGTGCCTGGGGCGTGGAGTCGCTTTTCAGTGCTTTCAAAGGCAGGTTTAGGGACAAGTTGCATTGGCCAGAGAAGCAATTATAAAGGTTTTGTAAAGGTCACCGAGACACACTTCAGACATGAGGTAGTTCGGAAATCGCGCAGCGGTCAAGAGCTCTCGGGACATCATCAGACTGCACCGAAGAGCTTATTTGAAGGTCGCTACGTCTTTGCTAAAAAGGGCTGCTGCATCGAGGGTTTTGTCGACATTAGAATAATATATGGAGGGGATTGTCGAGGCCGTTGATTACAGGTCGTCGTGACTTTCTCTGGGGGAAGGCTTTTGCTGTCTCTGTCACTTTATTACATTCAAGCGTAATACAACTGCTCGTGCAATCCACACGAGTAGTTGGAGGTTATACGAGTGTTACCGTCAACCTTTGGTGTTCTCAGCATACTAACATAGGTTTGACCAGAGGAGAATCGGCGACTCCTTCACCGGGGGGAAGAGACAAGGGATGATGTTTTTAGTTTTTTTGTCCAATCCCCAAAGGCCATCCTGATGATATCCCACGCCGCATGGTGATAGTTACACAATTGCAGAGGGTAAGCAAATTGGCGAAGAAAAGAAATCATAATTTTGGTTCTCAATTTCTAGGCTAGGCGGCGCAAGCTACCACCCGTTATGAAGGGTACAAACTAGTATTAGCCATCCAACATTGTATGAAGGTGTGAAGGTCATCTTAGCATTTTAGAGTTGTGCCAAAGTAAAGAGGCAGGTTTCGAAATGCCCTTTGGACTCTTGCTGACTCGTCCCCGTCACATACGGCACGACGCAGGTTCTAGAGTCGACGATGGACCTGCGGACAGTACGGCACTTCGTGTGGAAGAGCGGCGGTGACCTGGTTCTGCACTACCGGCCAGTCAAGTGACGCCGGCCGCTGGCCTGGAGCCTACTCCGCAAGAGCTGCCACCGTGCCGTCGGAACCATCTTTCTGTGATACGCGCGCCGATTCCCGTCGTTCCCGGGCTCGGTGCGCCCACCAACCACCGTGCTGGCGAGACACTTGTCGCGAGCAACCCATCATCAACCATGCAACAGAAGCCTCCAAGTCACACACCGCTGCCGCCGCCATCGCCGCCACTAGAAGAGAGTCGTGTATCCGTAAAACGAGATGCAGCTTCTTTTCATTCCTCGTTTTAGGTGTGGTCTGCAGGCGATGCATCCTTAGCAGATGATGCATCCTAAGCAGATGATGCATCCGTAGCAGATGATGCGTCCTTAGCAGATGATGCATCCACTGCAGACGATGCATCCACAGCAGACGATGCACCCTTAGCAGACAATGCGTCCGCAGCAGACGACGTGTCTGTAGCAGACGATGTGTCTGCTAGGAGAGAACAAAAGAAAATCGTTGGTAGGGTTTGCAGGAGGGCGTAGAGCAGCTACAGAAGGTGCACAAACCCGAGTTCTGTTTTCCCGCTTGTACTAGTGGCCGACCTGGGTTGTGGTTTTTGGACGTGTTTCGAGCATGATGCATGCAGGCTGCCGAGAGTTGCCGGCAGGACACAAAACTCTTTGGTTTTGTCCGGGCTCCCTTTCGGATTTTACAAAGAATGGCTGCTTGAATCTTGCTTTCTTGCAGCATGTTTGGCTGGGATTTAGAGGTACAGTAGGGCGGATGCTACCAGTTCCAATTCTCCAAGTCCATGTGCCTGTTGGGCTTGTGAACAGCCTTGTAACAGCCGACAGGGCAAGCTTTGTGTAAAGTATGGTTTCAGTGTATTTTTTTTGGGGGGGTTCGAAAGGAATCTTTTTTTTTTTTTTTTTTTAGGCTTAAGTTTTGAGTTTGTGCCAGGATGCAACATACAAAGCAAACAGATGATGCTGTGCAAGCTGAATAACTTAATCTCAACTTTACAGATTCCGGGCATTTTAACAGGCTACTGTTTTCTCGCCGTCAATATGCATTCGTGCCGCCACGCCTGCCTTCGGGCATTTTGCTAACGAGCGTACCGGTTTTGCGTTTGTTTGACTCAGCTTAGACGCGCAAAATTATTGTGATGCAACTGCCATTTTTTCTCTTTTTGTTTTGTTGCAGGGACATGCACACAGGTCATGTCAAGGGCAAAAAGACATACTGTTAAAGAGCCACAAGCTCGCAAAATGCATGAGATCATGTAACCAGCCTCAAGGCATTTGCATTGCATGTGGCTCCTACAAAGCGACAGAAGGAGATGCTTGAAATACTTGCCTCTTTTTTGTTTTCTTTTTCTCTTGGGCGTTTTATTTTCGGTAGTGGCTTGGGTAATCACAGGGTCCGTTTTCTTTGTTTGTTTTTATTTGTCTCTAATGCTAAAGACAACCAACAGTTACTCAGCGTCTTCAACATGTTTTTGTGTGTTTTGCACTGGTAAAGAAAACGAGAGAATATGTAGGCATACTCGTACAAAAACAAAAAAGATGCACCCTCTTTTTTTTTTTTCTATGTGCCAAAGGAGTTGAGGGTTAGAAGGTGTGTGACGTTAACAAGGTAGCGTCGGCAGACGGGAGATTTAGTTACTGGACGTGGAGACTTTGTCTTACTAATGGCGGTCACAGCTGATACTAGTCATCCAGATGCAGGGATGGGCTTGGGTTGACGGAAAACTTCATTCCAGCGTCCTTGCTTGCAAAGAAAAAAAATAAAATAAAGGCAGATGTTTAGTTTTTTAGTTGTTTTCCTCCTTTCTTTACTTGGGTTGGTGGTGACAGTGATTTCCCTAGACACCCCCCAGGGGGCGGAAGGAGGGGGGGGGGGGGGGGGGTGTAACCCCTCTTGTTTTTCTGAAGGCACCCCCTTAATTAATTTGCAACGACTCCTCTATTATTAGTGCTCCCCACCCCCCCTAAAAATTTAGACCCCTCCCCCTTCCGCCCAATTTAGAGCCCAATTTCAATTCCTGGGGAAACCGTGAGATTGAGCACTAGAGGTACACAATCTCTGAGCTTGTTTACCTCATTTCATAACGCTTATGTTAATGAATGTAAACAAATCAACTGCAGTATGTTCAACTGGTTTAGACTGAACATAGGCACATTATTGTGGGGTATGTTTTTGGTGTGAGCCCTTGATCAGAACCTAAATTCTGCAGGTCTCTTAAAACTTTAGCCTTGTTTCGTTTTTTTTTTTTTTTTTTTATGAATGACATATAATGAAAGGAAATGAAAATCAAAACTTACCATACTCCGACTATACTCCGACTCGCTAAAACCGTGCAGTACAGCGAAAACTGGGCGGCAGAGAAAAGCTCACCGGAGAAAAGCTCACCACAAAACCGGCAGATGCGGAGAAAAGCTCACCGATATTTTTTTAGCTTAGCTTGATTCTGCGTCAAACTTGGCAATTTAACACAATTTGCATTCGTCACTTCATTAAAAATATGTCCTCGTTTTTGTAATATTTTTGAGGTTCATTGGGCAAGTGTAAAATCAGAACATGGTACACCGGTAAAAAAGGCAACAATTTATTGACAGCTGAGGGTGCGCCGTCGGTAGCTCTGTCAGATAAAGAGGTTTGTTTTTTGCAAGGTAATATGAATAGCGGTGTGTGAATCGCTTGAGGTCCAAATATTGTGTAGTCGCTAATAGATAAGTAGATGTTTGTTGATGTCATCAGTGTCGGCTACGCTGTTTTCTTTCTGTTAATTTCACTAACAAAACTTTAGTTGCGAGAACAGCTTCGTCGTGTCGTGTTTGTTGTCTTCACCCCGTCGTCGTCGTTTGAGCGATTTTCATCATGTATAACGTTTACCAACTCGCCCAATTCGCTACCTACCTAACAAAAGACTAGTTCTTATATAGCTCACGAGTAACAACGGTGACAGTGCGCAGCTCTGAGGGTCATGGGTGGCTCACCGTAGAAGGCACTATCACACAAAGGGAACGTGTGGAAACATCACGCAGCACGAACGGCTAGAAAGCGTGCATTTCCGTGGAAGCACGAACGGCTAGAAAGCGTGCATGTCCGTGGAAAAAAAGAAGCCTCGATATCCTATTGACTGCTTCATCCTGTTTTCAAATGTTAACAAAAGCTTCAAAGAGAATTTCAGGCACCGTGTTGTTGCGCATGCACTTTTGGATTTTCGGCATTTACACCTTTGATTTTTAGGTTTTAGGAGTCATCATTATGTTTTCTTTTTTTTTTTAACTTTTTCCTGTTTTTAGGTTCATGAAGATTTTAGTTAGGCTTTCGTTGCATAGAAAGCCACAAAAAACACTCTCCCGCAATTATTAATTTGGGAGCAATATACCCAATAAGCTTAACAAATATTACAAACGAGGACATTTTATCTTTTACAAAGCTGACGAATGTTAATGATAATAAATTGATATATGTTACGCTCGATCCAGCAGCCTCCATATAAAAAGAAGAAAAAATATTGGTGAGCAAATTTTCTCCACATACGCTCAATGGCCGGTGAGCTTTTCTCCGCATCCGCCGGTTTTGCGGTGAGCTTTTCTCCGGTGAGCTTATCTCCGGTGAGCTTTTCTCCGGGATTCGCGAAAACTAGAGGGGAGAGAGTGTATCCCTACCTGTTCAAGAGGAGGAAAAGGAGGAACGGGAAGAATCAGAATCCCAGCCTTCCTCTCACGTTCCTCCGTCCCTTCCTCTTGAACAGGTTGGCATACGCTCTCCCCCCTGTAGCTTTGGTTGTACTCCCTCCTCCCCTTTTTCCTTGTCTAGCCCAGCCAGTTCTTGATCTCCTCATTATACCAGTACCCGATGACATATTGGAAGTACTGAATGTTTATTCTCATTCTAAGAGTTGGAGGTGCAAGGTGCACAAGCATTGTTTTACATGTGCATGAAGAACTATAAAAAAAGAAAATAATGTTCGACGGCTTTACACCAGGAAGATAAGCAGATTTTTAACATGGACCACAACAATTGCTCAAGTTCCCCAGATTCTGAAGAATAAACATAGTATATAAAACAAAATTCGCGTCGTTATTCACTGCCTCGGAATGCAACAATGCCGGATAAGGATCAGAATGCAAAGCATTTTCGAAACGGGACACACGCTCAAGGTCGTCTGAGATTTCTCAAGGTTTAGATCTCGCGCGAAATCGATTGTACGTATTTATAGGTAGGATCTCGTTTATTCAACGCACGGCACCAACCAGTTGCGAAAGAGCGACCGAGCCAGCGTTTGAGATGTATTCAAGGAAACAGGTAGCCGTAGTATCGGCTCTTGCTATTCACGTGGTCAAAGCTGGCAGACCTAGAGCCACTCTATGTGGCAGCGTAGCTGCCAGAGTAGCGACACGACGCAAAATTATCTAGATGCACGACGTCAGAAGCGCTGATAGTGATCTCCATTTTGGGCCTGGGAGGTTGCCATGGTAACCGTGCTTCTAGCGACGCCGGGCGGCAACCGTTGTAGTCTACTCTAGTTGATATCTCCATTCGTTCATTGAAAAGTGATATAAGACCTATAAGACGCTTGGCATCGCGGTACGGCAAGAGCTTCTGAAGGAACGGTGCCTGTTTTTTCTGAAAGGTGAGACGATTTGCAGCCCGGGGACTGTCGGGCGACGAGAGCTGCTATGGTATCGTACGTGCACGGACAAGGCGAGTGGTTTTCGGCGCCGCCGGGATGGCGGCCGCTTCGTGGGACGAACGTACCGTGCTGGTACTTTCGGACTTCGCTCGGATGGAACAAAATCCGATTACGCCGGCCACGACAAGACGATTGGCTCGGAACATGACTGCTGCTCGACTGCCCCATAGTGAGCGAGTATATATGTTTAGCATCATACTTCTTCAAGACCCGATCATCCCTTCAAGATGAGATTTTCCCACCGACTGGTGAGGAGCGACGTCGACGGGGTTCAACCAAGAACGACGGCATGGTGGCATCTAGGGAATTGTGGACGCCATCAAAAGAGACGGACGCCGGATATGAGGTGTTCTTGCAGAAAGGCAAAATGGTCGTTCGGAAGTTTACCGGCATTCAAAAAGTCAATATTTTTATCTGGTGTAGCACACATATCCGTGTTAATGGGGTATTCACACGAGGGAGAAATCTCGGGGATTTCTCACCGGCACGCGCATTCAACGACGAAAACGTCAGGCTTTGCGATGTGCAAAAGCCTCGCGTTTTCATCTCGTTATTTTATTTTTATTTTTAAACTTCTTCTTCCTTACCTGTAATCCTCAACTCGGAAGAGAACTGTGAAATCACGCAGTCGTGACATACTAGGGCACCGGTGCGATGACCCTAAGCCTTCACCATGCTTTTTAAGCACACCGTAGAATTTGGCATTCGCAATTAATGATAAGTTCCGTCAGGGCACTCATTCGCCAGGAACGCGAATTAAAATATCCATGGACGAATTGATTGCTGACGAGCGCATACATCCGAGCGCCGCAGTTTTCGTGTCCAATACGCGAGTTGGGGTCGGCTGACGTCATTTTGGCCTTTGTAGGCATTGTAAATAGGATATTTAGAACCATACACATATTATGATAACGTCATAGCACACTGACATTAAGGAGCACAAAACGGGCCCAGCTACAGAAAATAATTATTACACTCGTAAGAAATAAATACGTCTGTAACTTGTTAATTACAACGACGAAAACACCTCTGAGCATCTAAGTTTAATAGTATGTGTTGATGAATTGTCATATAGCAGGACATTTCATATACGTCACTTGAGCAAACGCCAGTTTTTCACTTGAAAAACAAACCAAAAAACACTGCGATCAAATGCAAGCTATTGCAACGAAAACAAGTTATATCAAAATCTTCAGAACTGCCATTTCGTAAAATTGGCGATTAGTAAAAAAGATTAAAGATCGCAGGAGCTTCCTCGCTAAAAGTTTGTGATCATGCGGTTACCTGGGGCAAAAACAAATTCTCCAAGGCCCAACATGCGACGCACAGATTTCGCATCGATTCTCAGACACTCCAACGTTCAAATAAAGCTAAGAGAATGCAAAAATTCCATGCTAAATGTCTTATCGATCCTCAAACACATCCGGAAACCCAAGCACCGCTAAGGCAATATTAATATGCTGTCGCACAGGTGCTAATATTCAGAGCGATCTTGCACAGAAAGGGTATAAAATATCATTCTTTCAGATCTTCACGTTATACCTACGTCAGAAAGCACGAAGAAGCCCTAAATCGTCGGCAAGCTGCGGCACATCACGACTAAGGGCACCGAACAAACTCGCATCCACCAGCTCTGGGCGCTGCCATCTTACCGATGACATCACGGCTGTTGAGAGGTCACGTGACGAGTCGTCACTCGGTTGCTACGGAAACCGAGCCAGCTCAGCTCGTTGCTATGGTACCGCCTGTGACCAATCGCGGTGAGAGGCGGCACAGGGAAAAGCGTGGCGCTACTCTGGCAGCCACTCGATATGGCAGCTACGCTGCCATATCGAGTGGCTCTAGGCCATAGCTCTAGGCAGACCGAAAACAAAGCTCTAGACCGGCCGTGCCATAGCATTATCGAGGGACGTTACACACAACCAACGCACACAAACTCGTTGGGTACGTAGACATTTACAGCGCGGAAGCGATTTCACCCGGCAACAGTGTTCACCACCGCCGTAATTATAAATGAAAAATGTACTATTAGAGGGCGCAACTAACCCTCCCACTTCAGCGGAGGCTTTGCAGACGTTTCGCCATCCATCCTTCTTTAGACAAAAAAAAAA